GAATGAGGTTGGGGGTGGAGAACTCGATGTTTCCAGGTAGAAACCCCAACAGCAACCCAGGGAAGCAGGAAGGGAAGTAGGCTCGGGGCCCCCAGTACTTCACTCCTGCACACACCCCATGGCTGGGGCAGCTGGTCACCCAGTGCTGAGCAGACGTCTGCTCCCAGCTCACATCAGGGCAGATGGGGATGGCAGGCGCCACCACAGGGCCCTGACGAAGTCCTCACGGCCAGGGGATGCGCCAGGCCTGGCTGGGTCTCATGCAGGTGGCAGTAAGAGTAGAGAGACCTGAACTTCTAGACACTTCTAGGCCCCGCAACATTGAGAGGTTGGCATCTTCTTCTGGGTGGTGGTGGTGGTGGGGTTAGCCCTGCTTCCTCGGTCCCCCTGCTGTCTGTACTCTTGTGGTCTGTTAGAGATACTTGCAGGAGGCCTAGACTCAGGAGGTCAAAGGCAAGTTGGGCCAACCATGTGCCATGGCAACAGAGCCTTCCCCACCCCACCTCTTGTCTCAAACCTGCCACCTGGATTCCTGTGTCAGGATAGAGGATGTGTGTGAGCCCGTGGCCTGGGCCTTGACACCCTTGGGGGTCCCACTGGAACTGCTCTCTCTGGCTAGCCTCAGGCCTGCTCCCATGGGTCACCCAGGTCTGTGAAGATCGCACCCCTGGGAAGGCAAAATGCAAGTAAAATCGAGACTCCCCTCTCCCCATCAATCAAAGGGCTTTGTGGAGGCAGCCGGACACACAATGTCATACTTCTCCAGGTCCTCTTTTCTGAGCCATGAGCTGATGCCAGCAAGACCTTCCTAAGCCCAAGACAGGCTCCACAGTCTGGGGTCCAGGCCAGAAGTCAGGGCCTTTATTCTACGAATGCTTATTGAGGGTCCACTATATGTCAAGCACTGTTCTACCTGTGGGGATGATATGCATGTTCAAAAGAAACAAAGATCCCTGTCTTCGAGGAGCTTATGTTCTAGCAAGAGGGGAAACAAACAATACACATCCTCAGTAAGTGAATTACATAATATGGTCAGAGGTGGTAAATGCTCTGAAAACCTGTGTAGGCGGGTAAGGGGGTCAGGACAGCTGGGGGGCCGGATTGCAGTATTAAAGGCAGACCTCACTGGGAGGGAGACAGGGAACAAAGACCTGAATAAAGGGTGGGGACAGCTCGAGGGACACTAAAGAAGGGTATTCTTGGCAGAGGGAAGAGCCAGTGCAAAGGCTCTAAGACAGAGCAGGCCTGGTGTTCAAGGAGGCCAATGTGGCTGGGACACAGCAGATAAGAGAGAGCGGGGAGACAGCAGGTCAGAATATCCAGACCATCCAGAGCCGTCTGAGTCTGCTGTATGCATTGGCTTTTACTCTGAGCGAGCTGGGAAGCCATTGGAAAGTTCTGAGCAGAGGACAGATCTAAGTTCTGAAAGGATTACTCTAGCTGTTGTGCTGCAAATGGGTTGAGGGGAGCCAGGTAGCACCTGGGGGCCATGCTCCAGAAGAGAGGACAGTGGCTGGGGCTGGGGCGGTAGCATGGGGGTGGTGACAAGTGGACAGGTTCTAGCTGTGCTTGGTTGGGATTCACCGCTGGAGTGAGTGTGCGGCCAAGAGAAAGACTTGTCAAGAATGACTCCAAGGCTTTGGACTGAGCAATGGGAAGGATGGAATCGCCGTTTCCTGAAACCGTGAAGACCAAGGGTAGAGTCTGTTTCAGGGGAAGATTAGGAGCAGGAGGTGGATACTTGGGCTGGAGACTTGGTAGAATCTGAGCGGAGATGTCAAGTAGGCAGCCAGAGAAGAGCTAGAGCCCCCCTCCTTCTTTGCTGAGACTCAGGAATTCACTAAACCAAACCAAAGTCTTGCTGGCAGGTGGCAGGAGGAAAGGGGCACCCACAGCAGAGGCTGTGGTGTCTGAAGGGAGGTGACCAGTTACCTTCAAGAGGGCCGGGAGATCAGAAAAGGAGAGAAAAATAGATGGCGCCACCCAGTGTGAGTTGAGACTTTTGTGTAGTGGCCAACCCAAAATGTCCTGTGGGGTATGCTGATCTAGAATGATCTAGAATGCCCACGAAAGTCTTCCCTACTGCGCAAAACCAGGAAGGTGCCATCTAGAGCTCAGCAAGAGAGTTCTTGCTGCCCTGAGAGCCCTATCGGGCATGTTCCCCGATTCTACCGCCACAAAACACTAAGTCAGAGGCATCCATTTCTAGAAGGGACTTGCCCAAGGCCACTGAGTCCATACACAGTGCCGGAGTCAAAGCTGGGTCTGTGGCCAGGTCCAGGACCTTCCCATGGGCCGAGGCTCCCCTGAGAGCAGCGTCCGACTCCTGGTCGGGGCCTGGTGATGCTCTGTTCTTTGACAGCTGAAGATGCTGCTCTAGATCACCTCCCTGCTCTAGATCAACTCCTTTAATGTCAAGGTTCCCCTCAAAGTGGCCGCGAGGAGGTGAAGAGCTAACGAGGGCCTGCACACGAGGGGCTCGGCCCCATGCCCAGCACAGGGGTGGGGACACACTCGGTCAGTGACAGACGGCCCCAGAGCCGTCCAAGCAGGAGTCACTTCTTTTCCTTATTTTAGGGATTAAAGAAAAAGCTGTAAAAGTGAACAAGTTATGGAAATAAAGAACAGCCCCCTCACTCTGCGTGACCCACTTACTCTACTTAATATTCAGGGTGCACGGAGATTGGTTTCTCCAGCTGGATTATTTCTTTAGGATAAGTTCCCTGGGGTAGGATTACTGCACTGAGAGGTCAGAGCCCTTTTATGGGTCTTTATAACTGTTGCCATATTGCTTTCCAGAAAAGATTGTCCCCATTTACTTTTTACCTGACTCTTTTTTTTTTCTTACAATCTACTTTGCTTTTTCTTTACTGATTCAGTAGGTAGGAGATAATGAATTCACATTCCCTCGAATGTAATTGTTATAAATGTTCGCTTTTTCTTTTTAGCATTTACTTGTTTAATTTGCTTCAGTGAGAAGTGTCTATTCATAGCCTTTGCACATTTATCATTGGGTCTTTAATCAACAAACATGAGCTGATCACTGATACTGTCAGGTGCCTGGGAACACCTCGTTTGCATGAACTATTTCAGGCCATAGCAATGAACTTCTTTATGCGCACATCTAATTCACATTTCCCCCCAGTCTGCCTGTCTACTGAATATTTTCATTTGTACTGTTATACATTAAGTTTTTAAAATGTATACTGCCAGATTTGCATCATGTGAATCCTACGTATTTTTTTCTGTCAGAGGTTTTAAAGCTTAGAAAGTTACAACCCCATGATCTAATCCATAGTTAATTCTATTTAATATTTAGTTCTATTATTCTACTTTTGAAAGTCTTTAATCCACTGTTTCTGGATTAAAGAATATTCTACCAGACACTTATGTAGAATGTGACATGCAAAACAAAACAAAACAAAAACCCCACCCCAAACAAACAAAAAACTCATTTCAAATAGATATGGGAAAGCCCACCTCAGCAAAGTTAATTAAGCTTCTTTACTGGAGGGTCCCTCAGAGACTTTTACTATGCCAATAAGTCTTGTGGCTCTCCAAGGTTTGGGAGGACCAGCATTATTCCTATAAAGCATTTCTTAAACTTTGCACCTATGGAGCTCCTCATTCGCGGAGCTCCTCATTCACAAAGCCCCTCTTGGAGCTAGTTTTCCCTTGCCACGCTTTGGAAAATGTTGCTTTAACCCAACTTCAAATCAGAACATCAAAACAAAACTATAAGCTCCAATATGGTAATGAGGACTTTTGTCTATTTCACCCCCTGCTATATTCCCAGCAAACCATAGACACTCAGTAAATATTAGTTAAGTAAATAAATGAGTGTATGTACAAATAAAGCAAATCAAACCCAGTGCAAAACACCAAGATACGTTCCAAGAAGCAGGGAGGGGCAGGGACTTTGTGTGGTTCACTGATGCATCCCTAGGACCTGGAATATGTCTAGAGTACAGTGTGTGTTCAACAAATACTTGAACAGATGAATAAATAAAGGAATGAATCACTTGCCCAACTGAGCTCCTGACTTCAGTCCCTAACACCCTTCCTTTTATGGAAGAGAAAGACTATCTCACCTGGGTAAGAGTACATGACCCTAGGCAGCTCGGGAGGCAGTTCCAGGAGCCGGCAGGTAAGCGCAGAGGCCCAGGGCCCCAGAAATGCCCCTCCGGAGAGGCTCATCCCAGTGTCAGAAGCCCAGCTGCATCCAGCCTGGCGATGTCAGGCATCCCAACCCAGGGAAGTTGAGGACCAGACTTCCTCGGCGCTGTCCAGACTAGCCAAGCGAGACTCTGCATCCTTCCTGTAAGGGGAAGCCAGTCTGGAATTGGGTCAGAGCCTGCCACAGGTTCTGTCCTCCGAATGGCCCTGTGGGCAGAGCCTTGCAGCCTAAGACACTGAGTGACTTGAGCCTTTGGGGGCAGGGGAGGCCTCTTAGGATCACAAATGGCTCTCCATCTGGATAAGCACAACTTCCACGTTCGCTGCCATTCTGAAACCAACATCTGGTCCTCTTCCCTTACACCTCCCACTCAGCTGGACCAGCATAAGGCCTGTGAGAGCGACCTTTGTTACAGAGGAACCTAAGTTAGTGAACGGTTCCTAAGGAGAGCTCTCCGATAGGTCCACGGCTTAGGTGGGGGTAGGGGTGGGGGAAAGAGAACAGGAGCTGTTAGGACAGTCTGTTTCTCACAGCTCAGGTGACACTGACCCTCACCCAGCTTTGCCCAGAATCTACACAGAAGAAGTACCATGAGTTTTCAAGAAAGAGACCCCAAAGCCTGGCCCAGGAGCATCGGTGACCTTTTCCAAATATTACCCCTGGGTAATATTTCCTTTCAGAGATGCCCAGCGCAGCCCCAGAGCGTCCCATGTCACCACGAGTGCAGGCCCCACCAGCAGTTTAGGGAAGACTGTTCCCCTAAACCAGCCCCTGTGTCTGAGGTTGGAGCAGCTTCCATGGCAAAGAAGAGAGGAAACAATGCGCTTTATAAAGAACCATATTTATTTTCATTTACAGCATCAAATACCATAAATAAAGCTAAACATCATTTGCTGTGTGCAAAATACAGGGTCCCGTGTGGCACTGTAAAGGACTATCAGAGGTCGCAGACATGCGTTGCGAGGAGATGGGGCGGGGGGCTAGTTCAAGAGAAGGCTGAGAGGGAAGGAGGGCCCTCTCTGGTTGACATTCTATAAAGGGAGGGAGATGCTGCAAGAGAAACAAGACAAGAGCGATGACTTTGTACTGGCTAGACTCTGCACCAGTGCCGTGAGCAATGCAGCATGCAGGGCTGTGCGGACAGGCCAAGAGGTCAGCATGGCTCCGGGTCACATGCAGGACAGACGCCACCTTCCGCCTGAGACCCCGAGGCCCGGCGCCCAGCAGCTCCACCTGACTCGGCACGGCGCCCCTCTCTCTAAAAGCACTTTGAACGTCCTGCTGCTCCAAGTAATGAGTCAGCGGGCACATGTCATCTGAGCAGAGCCACGGAGGCATGGACACCAGGCCCGGGCTGAGCGGAGTCATGTCTCACAGCCACCCCCGGCCTGGGACAATGATTGCTCCAGTGGAAGCTTCTGCATCATCTGGGGTGTTATGAGCCAAGAACAGTAAGAAGAGCCACAGCAAAGCCCTTATGTCTAAAGTAAAGGCTGTGGTAGAGAAAGGATTTGCCAGGAACATTGTGATTGTGTGTTCAAAACACAAAGCAGGGGCGCCTGGGTGGCTCAGATGGTTAAGCGTCTGCCTTTGGCTCAGGTCATGATCCCAGAGTCCTGGGATCGAGTCCCGCATCGGGCTCCCTGCTCCTTGGGAGCCTGCTTCTCCCTCTGCCTCTCTCTCTCTCTCTCTGTGTCTCTCATGAATAAATAAATAAAATCTTTAAAAAAAAAAAAAAAACACAAAGCATGGGTCAAGCCTGTGATGAAGGCTGGGAGCATTTTTTCTTTTTAAACCCTTCCCAAAAGAGTCCCCCATGGTTTTGATCAATAATCTTTATACTAGAATCAATTTAAGAACCCTTTGTTTGCATGTACTTTTTCAGCAGCTACTAGACCAAAGTTCTTTTGCAAGGTGACAGAGCCCTCTCTGGTGTTCTGTCTCACCACTGGGGGAACCGTCCCAGGAAGGTAAGCGGTTTCGCAAGGGCAAAGGTATGCATGCAGGCTGCACGGGGAGCCGCAGGGAGGCAGGGCATGCAGCCAGTGTAGACCTGGCGGCCGGCTCAGAGGTAAGTAGAGTCAAACATGGCTTTCGAGCGGAGCACCACCCCACGTTGCTAAACCCCATGCCATGGAATGAGTCCGTTAGTATGCAAGACGCTCGCAGTTAGCACAACCAGGACCGCGGTGCGGAGGATGGGGTGCAGAGAGCACGTTAGGCATTAGTACCTCTCTCTGAAAATTGGCAAGAAAACCAGTCACCTCCGAGCAGAAGTGTGTCAGCCAAGAAGTGGGTGTAGCACTGGAAGGCTGAAATGAACTGGTAGCCACAGTGTAAGGTTGGAAAGAGAGAGACAGAAAGGAGAATTTAGTTCGGGGCCAGGGTGGGGGCGGGGCGGGGGAGGAAAAAAGACTGATAACACAAAAGGCACTGGAGTTGAAGATGAGGCCACCGTTGATAAAAGGGGAACTTCCCCGAACAAATCATTGCTTGCTTGGGACAGATAAACCTTTCTGGTAGTGACCGCCTACTCATGTGCTAGAGTGGATGTGGGTAGTTGGCCTAGGCCAAAGCCCTCCCCTTGGAGAGACACGCGTCCTCAGGACCCCCTGCCCCCACCCCCACCCCCGATATCTCTTTTCCCCAGTTTCACTCCCGTGTCCCACACTCATTCTTGAATATGCTGTGGAGGCCAAGAGGCGTCTCCCTCCTGGGATCCACCATGCGTTTCGGTTCTGCCCACCAGGAAGGTTCACAGCCTCAGAACATACAAACATCTCAGGCTTCTGACAGGCACACCCTGTCTCCCCAGAATAATTCAAACCAGTCTCTTTATGGCCATAAACGACATTCTCCGAGAGTCTAACTCTGGCTTCATGGAGCGCTCCACAAAGCTTCTCAGCCCACCCTGAGCTGAAGACAGGAGCAGTGACATGGCTGTGCATGTGTTCACATCATGACCTCAAGAATTTCCTTTTAGAATCAAACATAGCATGAATCCAGGGCTCCTCCCACCATGCTGGATATTAAAATTCCAGCAAAAATTTGGAAAAACCCAACGCAAGTCATCAGACTGAGAACGGTTCCAACGAGGACAGAGGTGTCAGTTCCCATGGGCTAGGCCACAGCCAGGCCCCTCTTTTCTCTAAGGACTTCAGGAAGGGTTTGTAGAAATGCCTCTCCCCTTCGTCCTGCCCTATAGAAACTTGTCATCTCCAAGCTCTCGAGCGCCCTGGCTCCTAACGCACCCCGGGTTCCATCTTCCCTTAATCTAGAGGAGATCTCTAGTGTCACAAGTGCACACAGCCATCTCCAGCCTGGCAGCTCTAGATATCCTGAGCACGTTGGAAGGCCTCTGCCTTGTTCAAGCAGACCCAGCAATGGCACACGTCCGAGCAGAGCAGGGTGCGGGAAGCGGAGGCCTCCCCCGGAAGCCCAGAGTGAAGAACACAAGTAGGCCCAAGGCCTGTTTTTGCCCTTAATAGGGCATATTTCTTTTGTATCAGTCAACAAACAGCTTCCACTCCCTGCCTCCCCTGCCAGTCAAGACACAGGAGGTCAGACCCAGACACATTCCTTTGCTAGGACAGCGTGAAAACAAATGGTTTTTGACTGCTCTGACCAATATGCATGGCAGCCGAGGGGCTAAGCAGCCAGGATGTCTGTAAGCAGGGCTCCTCGGGCAGGTCACGCTTCCCAGAAATCCTATACCCTGAGGTGCTAACAAACGGCCTCAGTCCCAAAGCATGTGATACGAGAGGGCAGATTCTTCCCTCAGCCTGACCATTATGGACCCTGAGTGGCCTTGGCTCAGTCTGCAGCCTGGGCTGAGGACCGGATGGGGAGCCCCAGGCGGGGGGATGGGCACAGCTCCTCTCCTGCAACGCACCAGCTCAGAGCTCTGCTCAGCCAGGGGCCACGGGGCCTCACAGGCACTGCTCGTTAATGGGAAGGGACAGTGTATGTTTGTAGCAATCTGCAGGAAACCCCATGGTCATTTGGCTGGTGATGAGGGGAAAAAATCTTTAAGCTACTAATTTTACATCAAAACAAGGGTGCAAAACAGTCCCCCTCCCTGTGGGAGGGCAGATCACAGCCGACTACATACTGCCGTGTGTCTCCGTATGGTTTAATTCTACTCTGATTGACTCTTTTCTTCTAAACTGCTGATGCTTTCATGGTGCCAAAACACTGTCCCCTGTGGACAAGTGGCATCACGGTACATACAGCAAAAGGCACTGGTCAGGAGGTGGCACACTCGCTTCTGTTTCTATAAAAAGCCCAGATCATTAGTGTCGTGGGCAGCGACCATGACCATGGACCACACTGTGGAAGGGATTCGTGACACCAGTTACAAACTTCAAACCGTGTTTAGAAAAACTGACACTCATAGGGGAAAAAAAATGCTTTCTCTTGGCTTATTAAAAGTTTTAAAAATTGAAATGTAAACCTAGAACTATGGCTCGCTTTGGTATAAAAGAAGTACAAAGCTATAAAAAACATCCTTCATGTCGTCTGGCCCCAGCACCAGGAGCAGATGTCCACCCTGACAGAGTCAGGTGCGGGTGGCCAGTGTGAAACTCTTTGGCTTTGAGTGAATTGGCTAGAGAATGCTAGGCTTCCCGGCCAGACCCTTGGCTAACTGCCAACACGCTGCCATCTAAACTGGAAATGTGAGGGCACTTCGGGGTGGTTGGCATTTCAGTGGAGCTTCACCGGGAAGCATCTGAGCACCCAGTTGCGGATGGTCTCCAAGGACTCCTCAGACTCCCGGTACATGGAAGCCAGGACCTCAGAGAACACCCAGAGGAGGGGCAGCCCGAGGCTCAGGAGCTCGTACATGTAGCAGTAGTTATAAGCATTGTCCCTGAAATGCAGGCCGGCTGCACGCAGGAGTCCCCGAATCCAGTTAAGCAGGCTCCGGGGAACGTGAAGCAGGCCCCAGGGCAGCACGAGGGGCCAGCTTAGCGCCTTCCTAAAGAAGGAACTGGTGATACCTGGAGGGCTGCCTTCGGGCGTGCCAATAGCAGCAACTGCGCAAGAACTTTCCACGGGAGTGTCTCGCCGAGGGGCCTCTGGCTCTTTCCACGGTCCCTCCTCCTAAGAGAGGGAGCAGAGGAAGGGCATTTAGTCCATGATTCTCACGGAGCACCCTCCGAGGAAGCAGATCAAGAGAGCCAACGCAAGCGGACCGTGGTAGACCCTGCATTTTGCAACCAGCCCCCCAAATAATAGCCCCCGTGCACTGCTGAAGGGGGATTGAATATGGGCATTGCTTTTCCGGGGCCAACGTGACCACAGGGTTCACAGACCTTCAAAACACACGTCCTTAAAAAACAACAACAACGCACATATGTCCTTTGACTCAGAAATCCTATTTCTAATGATCTGTCCTCAGGAAATAATTTGAAACAGGGACCAAGATGTGCATACAAGGATGCTGGCTGTGAAAATAGTTGTAAGGTAAAAACAGGACACAGCATAAACATTCAGCAACATGGGACTTGTTAAATAAATTATGAATCATCTTTTATAGGCATCAAAAATGATGCTCCAAAAGAATTTTTAATGTTATGGGGAACGGTTCTTGGTATACTGCCAGTAAATAAAAAGAAGGATATGAAAGTGTAATTATTGGATTCCAACTAGGTTAAAAGACATTCACATAGGGCGATGTCACAAAATGTTAGTTATGGGTTTCTCAGAATAGGGTGGTGATGATTTAACTTTCCTTCTTTACATACTTCATTTACCCATTTTCTACATTAAGCCTCTATGATTCATATAACCTGAAAAGAGCTGTATGGTGGGGGTCCTTGCTGGAGGGGGTGGTTAATCAAGCGGCAGAGAAGGTGTGTGCTAAGAGCTGCGGGAAGGGACACTATCACCAACTGTCCATACATTCAGCAGCCTGTCACTTTGTTGACATACAAGAGACTGGGGTGCGGGGGGGGGTGGGGAATGAGGGAAAGGTAGGCTCCCCAAGAGGCATCCCTGCAAACAACACTGTGGTCACTTGGGACCCAGGCGTGGGGGACCCTGCGGTTTCCACATGGCTGGGACTATAGTCCCATCCCTGGGACACGGGAAGGCCCTTCTCAGGAGAAGCCAGCACCGCCGCTCACCAGGCAGCCGGCCTCCAGAATGGGATAAATCTAGAGGCTGGCACAACAGGCTAAGGCAGAGAGACCCTCCACGCCACACGCACAGTACGGACTCTCGGCTTTACCTGTGGGTCTCAGCCCCTCCAGGGCCGGAAATTCTGGCCTCACTTGGAGGGACCTTTGAAAACGGTCTCCGATCCAGGGGCCGTCCCTGTTTCAACAGCACTTTCAGGAGCAAAGCATACCTCTCTTTGTTGCTTCAGCTCTGCTCGTCTCTTCCTTTGCTGACTGTTGGTCTTACAGTGAATGAAATGAGGCTTGCAGAAAAACTTGCCTGTAAAAAGAAACACATGCACACTTGCATGCATGGGTTTTCTCCTGTAAATTAGGGTCACAGCAGATACAAGCCAACTTCTGCCCCTGTCTAGGTCAGGGAATGCCAATATTGGGAGTAAGCCCAGGAGGCCTCAAACTTGCTTTCTGTCACCTGTCTTAAAGAAGCCACATTCAGATGAGGTAGCAGGACCCTTTGTTGCCTCAGAGGCAGGCTGGAGCAATGGAGGGGGCGGGATGCCGGGGTTGGGGCTGAAGCCCAGAGATAATCCCTAAGCCAAACTGAGGCCAAGTCCCTTCCCAAGGCCAGCTGCCAGGCTGCAGAATGGACAGCTCTGAATATCAGCACTGTTTCCAGTCTGCAGTCCTTCCTGGGGCCCCTGGGGGTGGGAAAGGCTCAGAACAAATGGTAGCAGTGATGGAGAGGAGAAGACCCAGGTGAAGTCTGCCCTGGGTCCCTGGCCACGGCCCAGGACCACTGGGCACCTTCCAGAAAAGCCTTCTTCGTTCACTGTTACTAAAGTAACCTCAGGAACAATGGTACAACATGAAAAACTTATCCAGGACTCACAATAGAGCAGGCACTACTCTGAATGCTTCCCGTGAATTAATTCACACGAACAACCTTGCAACAACCTTATGAGCTAAGAACTATCATTATCCTCATTTTACAGATGACATAACGGAGGGACCAAGAGGTTAGGTAACAGGCCCAAGGTTACGGGGCTAGTTAATGGTTCATTCTGGCAGGCTGCTTCTCAGAGGGGAGGTTGCTATTATGACCACTTTTGTAAGACACACTTTGTAAATAAAAACATTAATACATCACCATTTATTGAACACTTGTTACAAGCCAGGTGTGGTGACAAGCGTGGTACTAGGTCGCCAGGTGTGATTTCCTTGCCCACACGGGGCCATGGAAGGTGGGGATGCTGGTGAGGACACGTATGTAAAGCACTCGGCACACAGCAGGTGCTGCTGCTGCTGGTATACAGCAGGTGCTCACCGCCTCCCCGGGCCCGCCGGAGGTGGCCTCTCTCTCCAGCAGGATCTCCCAGCTCCCAGAACAGCTCTCCCGGGGATGCCACAGTCCCTGGGAAGCGGTGGGGCGCCCCAGAGCCTCCAGAGGACAGGAGCCCAGACCGGAGACCCCGGCGCTGTCCCCGGCCGCTGGGAGTTACCTTCGTCACTGTCGAAGGCGTAGGCAGCCAGGCGCAGGGTGGTGGCACAGACGCTGCAGCGGAAACACTCTCGGTGGAAGAAGTGGCCCTCGGCGCTCAGCCGCTCCATCACGTACACGCGCTTCTTGCAGAAGTGACAGGTGTCGCTGCCGCCCAGGCTCAGGGGGAACACCTTCCGCATGGATTCCTGGGGGGCACAGGGCGGCAGGAGAGAAGCGCCGCGCGTCAGGGCTGACCCCGCGTCTCGCGGTGCGAGGCCGAGACTCTTGGAAAATCCTGACCTCGATCATGGGGACCTCGTGGGCTCCTGTCTGCTGCCCATGGCACTGCAGGCACGGCAGCCGAGACTGAGCGGTGGGAGGATACGCCCCCAGCACAGACCCCAACGACCCCACCCCGCACGGGCTCCCAGGCAGGCCAGGTGGCGACAGGGGAGGCCCAGGAGGGGCTCCTCCCGAGGCCGGCCGCTCCGGTTTGGGGGCGGGAGTGGCATCTCTCTGTCCGACACAGTGGGCATCCCTCACCAACGTGCCTGCCCAGCAACGCTGGCTCCCTCCGGAATCTGCCCGCGTCTAGGGTGAGGTCCCCGAAAGAATGTTTTCCACACCCCTGTCCCCCCTGCAGTGACTTAGGCCAGGCAAGGAAGGCCTGTGGCAGCCAAACTGTTGAAGAGAACTGCAGGACAGGGACAGGCTGTGTCCTCTAGCCCCCGGGGCTGCCAGGCAAATTCCTAAATGCAAGGGAGGAGGAGGAGGGCCAGGCAGCGGTGCGCCTGGGGGATTCTAGGGCTGGGGGGACATGTCAAAAGGAAAGCAAAAGAATGTCCAGTCAGATGGCTGGTGGCCGCAGCAGGCAGCCTTGTTTGGAGAAGGGAGAATTCAGCGGGAAGAGTATCTCTCTGTTACTGGATTCTCTGTCCAGTGCAAAAGGGCTACTTGGGCTGGACGCCAAATGCTGAGGGTAAGGGGTGGCCTGCCTGGCCTTTTCACTGAGCTCACCAGACAGCAGGGGACAGGCTCTGCCTTGTGAAATGACCTATAGGGGAGCCAAGTGAGGTTTGTCGGCCAGAAAACGCAGCCCTCCCTCTAACCTCGGCACCGATCTACTTCACTGTCACGCCTCCTGTCCATGAGAAGGGGGCCTCGCGTGGACCAGGCCATCCTCCCTGGGAGACCAGAGCCGGTGTCTGCGGGTGAAGGCTGAGGGCTGTGCGTCCTTACCAGGTCTGGAGAGGTGGCCTGGGTCTTAGGTCTGTGATCATTCATGTACAGATTGACCAGGACTTCAGCTGCAGCCCCTATTCCGCTGGATACTTTCCCTACCGTCAGCTACCCAAGAGCAGAGGTAGAGGAGACAGAGACAAAGGTAGAGGCCAGTTAGCACTGAGAAGGAAAGCGCAAACAGGCTGGAGGTGGGACAGGGCTCCACACCCACATGCAAACAGCGCCCGACGTCCCAGGAGAGGCAAAACCAGCCTGGAAAGGGCAGCGGGCACTCTGGAGACGGAGAGGACAGAAGTGGAACCCTGGGGCCCGGGGTGAGCCAGGTGACTCGTAGAACTAGCTCCGTCCGCATGCAAGGCCTTCAGGACTCGTCGAGTTTCTTGGTTCACAGATGGGGTAAATGAATCCCGGAGACAGGAAGGGAGCTATCCCAGGCCACTTAGCAAATACGTGTGAGATTCGGAGCTCTTCTCAGGTCTCCTGAGCCCCAGCCCAGATGCCCTCACACCTTAAGGAACCAGGACCTCACAGACAGACAGCTGAACGGCAGCCACCCTCCCATAGAGATCCCTCCTCTTTGAAGGGCTGTGAGATGCTGCTTCACCTGCTTCGTGAGCAGTACCCCCACCCCCAGACTGGAATGAAGGGTTGGACCCCAGCTCCACCATGAACCAGTCCTGAGACTGGGCACAAAACTCTCAACTTCTGAGCTCAGTTTCCTTGTTTGGCAGAATGGGGGAAATCGTGCCTGCCTCATGGTTGTGTGGTAAGAACTGAGGGAGAGAATGGGTGTTCAAGTGCCTGGCGCTTGGCGGGGCTAGGCCAGGATGAGCTGGACTCCTCCCTCCCTGTTTCCCGAGTACAGCCGGTCCCAGCCTGCCTTGCAGCCTCCACACCCCTGGGGTGCAATGGTGGTGTCTGACCTGAGTCCCCCCCAGATCTACAGAAGCAGTGACTAGAACGGGAGTGAGGAGGCAATAGGATGGCACTCCCCCACATGCACCAGGCTGCAGCGCCCAGAGGCCCCAGGCTGATGCTGGCAGGTCAGCTCCATGGGAGCCCTGGGCACCACTGCCTGGCAGGTCACAGGCGCCTGTGCTCTGGAGGGCATGACGTCCACCCCCAACCTGTGAGTGTCCGGTTCCGCATCCACGTGTCTGGGAGCTGGGGCGGAGCTGACAGCCCATGCAGACATGGCACAGTCACCCAGATACCCCCACAAATCCCACCTTGCTCCCCCTTTCCCACCAGCTATGAAAGCCACCCTGGGAACACTGCAGTCTCCTCTTCAGGGAGGCACACACCACAGGAAGGGATTCCGTAAGCAGTTTCTGGTCCCAGGATCTGGGAAGAAGGCAGGCTCCAGACCCTGCCCAGCCTCAGAATCTAGCTTCTGGGAGGTGCAGCCAGAGAGAACAGTGGCATAGGTGGACGGGTGTGGTTGAAGGAACACCCTCAATCTAAACCCAGGACTGCTCCTGGGAGGCCACATCTAATCTGCTATGAAAGCCTCAGCTATAAAGCAGGAAGTTCGGGGGACGGCAAAGCGAATGGCAGTGGTCCCCCAGCTCCCGGTAGCAGAGCCTAGCCTCAGAAGCTGGGACCAGCCTCCAGGATTCCAGCAAGAACACAGCCGCTGCAAGGTCGCCAGGCAGGCTGGGGAGAACAGCAAGACCCAGGAGCCCTCTGCTCCCTTTCTCATTAAGAAAGCCCTCACACTCACAGCCACTTTGCAACAGTCACTTGGACCACATGCAGGGCTCTTGGGGACTGTAGCAGGCCATGGGCCTGCCAGGTAAGGGGTCTGAGCCCACGGCTCAGACAGATGGGAGCCCCTCAGAATTTACAAAGCCTGTCCCTTCCCAGGAGCAGCGGCCCCGCCAGTTACCCCAGACCCACTTCACCTCCCGAGCTGGCCCAGCCTGGGAGAGATCAGCTTTCTGCTTCCAAGCACACTCTCTGCCATTTACAGGATGTCACAAATAAATGCCCAGAACCTTGGCTCCCGTTTCTAAGAAAGGTTCAGGTGCACTGGCTCAGAACAACAAGCCATTGTTTGCCTGATGTTCCATCCCCCACTGGGAACTGCCCCCCCACCCGTGCCCCCCCCCCCACAGGCCCCTCAGGAAGGGGCTGAAGAATACCAAGTACTTCTTGGGTTTATATCAAATCAAAGGGGGAGAGAAGACAGAGGTCAGATTTACCTCCCTGCCCACACTGCCCTTGTGTGGCTGTCTCCAGTGGCCCCGTGTGTGAACTGGCTCTGGGGCGCCCTCCCAGAAAAACTCCATGGTGATGCCATGATACCCACGTGCAATTATCGCCTCCCTTGAGTTAGCTGGGATTGAGACTATACTTTTCAAGGCTTTAAATACAAGTCCTTAATGCGACCTTATTAACCACTTAGCTAATAAGCACTTTGTGCTGCTGAGCTTTTGTGCAATCCTGACTTAAGGAGCAATTACAGAAGCACGCCAAGGGCTAGAAGGTAGCTGGCAGGTGTCGCCAGACCCATCTGTGCGCTCATGGGCCTGCTCAGTTGCCCTGCCAGGACAGGGCACTGTCCAGGTCACCCAGCCAGGTGATCTATGACGAAGACAAGACTTGGTCTTTCAGAATGGGCCAGAAAGGCTCCCTTCTCCCAGTTGCAGTCATAGCCCCAGCCCATTGCCACGGCTTTCCTAAGAATAATGAAAGCACCCTTACGGAGAGCAGCACTGGGTCTCCCACACGCCCTTTCCAACCTGATAGAAACCAACCCAGAGTCACCACTGGCTAACCAAGAGGTGGACTGGACTTCCTGGAGAGGTCACAAGGAGACCCGGTGATGGAGAACTCATCTCAAGAGGTGAGGGGGGTGCCCCCTGAAGCCCACCCCAAAGACCAGTGTGGAGGCAGACATTGCCCTGAGGATTACAGATTCTCTTCTGCTTCTTGTCAACAGGATGCCTTATTGGCTCCAGCAGAGCGAGGACATGACCAGCCAGATGAATGCTAGCTCACTGCTCACCAAACTACCAGTGGTAAATGACCAGGTTTTGCTTAAAAAAAATAAATCTCTAGTCTGTTGTGACCTAGTATTTCTGGACATAATAAATGTGAATTACTGGAAATAGGACCACACACTTGGATGTGTGGCAATATCAGATTGCTCTCAAGTGTCTAATGCTCACTCTCACTCGCCATGCTCATTAGGTCACAGACCAGTACCTGCCCATGGACCACACTTTGAGCAGCATTGCTCTAGCCAACCAAGCTCCTGGGATCCTAAGACAGAGATCAATTTGTAGAGAAACTTCCAGAAAACTCATTCTGGTATTGACCTCAGAGTGAGAGCCAGGGTTTCTCAGCAAGGAGATTCATGCACTAAAAGGTAGGCCATATATGTTCCTGCAGAGGGCTGGTCAAGAGCAGAATTGATAATTTGGGAGAGTTTGTGCAAACAAAAAGATGTGGCCAAAAATGATCACATCCCAGTCACTAGTTTTTAAAGAATTGGCTATTCTGGAGGGCTATGGGGCTGCTTTCGCAAACCTTTATGTATCTTGCAATATTCTTATAATTTTGAAGAAGGTTTCTTATTACCCTCTTCCCCCTTTTGAATTCTAATTATTTTTCAGTTAATTAGAACAAGCTGGAATGGCTGGACATTTCTGGTGTGCCATTATTTCACATTACATTAGATTAATCTCACATACACCATTTCCCTTCTGTGAGCCTCAGCTTCCTCATCTGTAAAATGGGGAGACTACTGCCACCCTTGCAGGGCTACAAAAAAGGGTCACCATAGAATCCAGGCCACACCTCACATGGTGTGGGGCCCCCAAGAAGCACTTTGCAGGGAATTAATGAGTCCAAAACACCGCCATTGGCTTGGCTTTACATTTCCATGTTCTAGAACTTCTTTTTTCCTTTCTTAGATGGTCTTCACTCTGGGAAACTCTAGGTCACTTGGGTTCCATCCTCTGCATGAGTAAGAATGGTATGGCCTACCCAGAATGAGCACACTGGCTTCTCTTCGACGAGTCAACCCAGATTCAAACATGGTGGCATAACTGTTGTCCCCAGCATCATCCCCAGAGGCTGCAGAAGAAGATGGTTGGACCCCCACAAGGAGGCATGTCTGAGGCAATCCTGGCACTCTGAGCTCAGAACATGACTGTCAGTCCACAGCTGCATGTTGGAGCCTTTCTCACCCAGCTCCCTTCTGGTCTGCACTCCCTGATGTCTGACTGTATCTTACTCATCTCCACGCTCCTGACACAGGGCGTTTGCTCTGAATGAAGGGGGAAGCAGGTTCCTGGGCCCCTCTGTCCAAACATTGCTAACGTCCCCCCTCGGGCCCGGAACTCAGCCAAGAATACCAGGTGCCCAGGCTGTGCTTCACCATGGAGCTGGGCCACCTGAGGCCACCTGGCCTGCTGTGAGCATCATGAAGCCCACAAGGCTCAGGCAGGGTAAGGGCTGAGGTTCTAGGACCTCAAAGCTGAGGACTCGCAGGAAGGGGAGGTTTCAACAGGCAGGGCCTGAGGAGGTCTCCTGCGCCCACTGGGACCAACATTCCCCTCTGAGGAGTCCCTGGGGGAGAAACATCATAGGACAGGCTATGGGCCTGGGTGCCCAGTGGTATGCTCAGGGCAAGAGCAAGAGAGGGCAAGAACTGAAACCACCTTGTTTGAGGGGGTCCGGAAATGACATGCTCAGAGTTGAGACTCGGGCAGGCCTTTGGGGCTATGACCTCCCCATGGGCGCCCACGTCTGCACCTGCATCCCCTGGCGCCAGGCACTGTGCTGTGATCATGTGTGTGTGGCCCTCAGAGCCTTGCGAGGTGGGTCTCATAATCCCCCTTCGCAGATGGGGCAGCTGAGGTTCAGAGAGGCTCTAACTCACCTGAGGCCGCACTGTTCTTAAGTGGCTGGGATGGAAATGGAAACCTGAAGGTGACTTCTTTGCCTTTAGAAAGAGAGGAATCAACATGCATTTCAGGTAAGTGAGATTTCTTCTGGAATTCTCCTCTGCTGGGGAAAGAGCACATTTACTGGACACTTTAGGCATTCTACCTTTGCCAGCTCACTGCAACATTCCTTGCACTATCAGGGTTAGCTGCTACCACCTCCGGTCTATAAGTGGGGGACCGAGGTGCTGGGAAGTCCACCAACTCCTCCAAGGTCGGTCCTCTGACTCTAAGCCCGTGTTCTTCTCCCTATAGCACCCTGCTTCCCTGAAACACACCACACTCTGCAAATTAAAACCCCCCAAGCTGGGATGCACACAGGACACCTCCAAAGGCAGTCGTATCCCAGGAACAAAAGGAACAAGGAGGTTGGGGGCAGCCTTGAGATCTATCCTTGTATCAAATGAAAGAAAGACATAGTGCCCAGCCAAGCCTCCCCTAGCTTTGCTCCAATGTGCAAATCTCTCCAGTAAACCCTGCAAATCCAGTTTTAAAACAAACACCCCCAGGTAGAGAAAGCTCCTTTTGTAATGCACATTGTTCTTCTGACCCAGGAAGACTTAAACCACAGCCCCCTCTTGCTCCTTGGCACAAATGCTCAGCCACCATCTTGTTCCGGCAAGAGCTCGCCAGCCTTGGCAAATGGCTAGCAGCCACGCCAGGTGCCAAATTGGCAGTGGCCTCCCTGCTTGAAAAAAGGAGTTAACTGATGGATGACGGGGTCAATAACACTACAGAAGGGCGGGTTTAATGGGATGGACGAGTCAAATGAGTGCTGGAGACATACGAGCGGACATGATCCCTAGTTGGGTCTCTGAAAGACAAGACTCTGGTAAGGATCTAGATCCTAAATGAGAGGACCTCAATACACCCTGTGACCATTCAGGCCAAACTCTCAGCTGTATCACTGAATCTTAAAGCAAATGTCCAGCTGAGAGGGCCATTTGAAGGCACAGCCCTGGCCACATCTCCTGGAACTGGTGACCCAAGTCTGCACCCCTGTAACAAGTGGTCCTCATCCGGGTTTGGATAGGTCTGTTCCCACATGGAGGGGATTATCCCTGGATCCTCAGAATTGGAGTGTAGGGCTCTAGGGCAGGACTAGAGACATGCTGCCTGCCTCAAGTTTGCCAAGGACTAAACATCAGTTTCCAAGCGCATTTTCCTTCCCCAGCCTTCCTTGAATGGAGGCGAGCTTGGGCCCCTGGGCAATGAGAGCAGCCCATCATTGGCTGGGCAGAAGCACTGCGGCCTCAGGCTCTCTTCAGGGGAGAGGCTCCCAGAGCTCCCTTAGGACTGAATGAAGTTTGTCACCAGGTTGTCACAGACTTTAAGCGGCAGCCAATTCTCTCTTCAGAGGAGGCTGTCACCCTGCCAGATTCCGCATGCACAAAACCCAGTGTTGAATGGGTTGTGGGGTGGGGTCCAGGAGAGGGAGGGAAATTGGTGGTGGGGGATGGGGAGACTGCAGGGCCACTGGCAATATCCTCTCTGAGACTGCCTGCCCCTGGAAACTCACCACTCAGTCCTGTCTACAACGGCTTCACACTGAGATCTGGAGGGTGCTGGGAATGTTGAGTCCAGACTAGGTCCTTTTTACAGAGAGACTAAGGCACAAAGAGGGTCAGTGACTTGCCCACTGTCCCAGGGTGGCCCTAAGAGCTCTCCACTCATTCCCGGCCCCACTGGGAGAGGCGCATCAGCCTGTAATTCATCGGCCCAATTACACCATCACCTGATGGCCAAGGCTGGCTAAGGAGATGGGATAAGAAAAACAGGTGGTGACTGTTCTACCACAACCTGGTAGAATAAAGAGTCAAGCTATGGGGGCGGGGGGAGCAGAGGGCCTGGGATTGCTCAGCCCAAAGCCCACCCCATTTGCAGCTCTCGATGCACCTGCGTGCGGAGCTCCCCGTGGCTATAGCCTGCAAGCTGGTGCGTCTGACAAGGCCTCCCATTCATGCCTGGCTGCTGTGGTACAGAGAACCCTGGGCCGGGGGGCAGGAGGCCTGGGGACTGGTCTCCTTGCACCTTTGTGTTCCTATCTGTGGCTCTACTCCTGCTCAGTTCTCTTTCCCAGGAACAACAGCCCCCACTAAAACTGCATTTCACATTGCTACCCTTCCCTGGCCCGCTAGCTCCCTGCTATAATTTTTCCATAGGAGGTACTATCTTGTCTTTTGATGTATTATATAATTTACCTATATATTACATTATTGTTGATTGTTCATTTCTACCCACTAGAATACAAGCCTCATCAGGGGAGGAATGTAACTCCAGACCACTGATGCACATCCCAAGAGCCCAAAGTGCCTGACACTGAGCCGTCTGTGGTCTAATAAATGTTTGTTGAATGGCTGAATGTTCACTTGCTGGCTCGCTTCATGAGTGACATTGGTTAAAACCTGCTTGAGGAGCCCAATGGAGGAGAAGCCGAGGGCCTCAGTGGAGCATGATGATGATGGAGCAATGCCTCCTGACAAGAAGTATCTCTGTCAGATCCTGGTGGCCCACACGTGCCTGCGCAGATTGCCTCTTGCCAGTACCTAGAGCTCAAACGCCTACTGGAAACCAAGTCAGGGACCTTGGGAAGTGTGGGGGCTTTTCTTGCCCCAGCTCTGCCCTCAAGCCAGGCCACACTGAGCATGAAAGAAAGGCAGAGGCTAGAGGGGACGCGGACCAGGGCCAGCCGGAGGGGCTGGGCAGGAAAGAAGCACGGTGTGGGCCCAGCTGCCCAGCTGCCCAGCCAGGAGCACCAGCGGCTGCCTGTCTGTGCCCAGGCACCCTGGCCCCTTCTCGTCCTGTCAAGGGTGCCATAACAGGAAGCACCCCCCAGGGGAGGCTCCTCTCCCGAGCTGGGCAAAAAGGCTGCTCTGGAGCTTTGGTGAGGATGACGAGAAAAATGCCAGTCCCCACCCAGACAGCTGCTATCACATGAGCCAGGGATCACTCTCGTGCTGATGAGAAAATACAGAAGGCCAGATAGGTCAGGAGGCGTGAGGCCAAATGGCTGACCAGTGGCTGACCTGGAACAAGATGCCGGGCATCCTGGCCATGGCTGTCTTCGGTGGAGCTGCACATCAGAGGTGTCTGTGCTTCTCTGGGCCACCTCCTGCTGCCCTTCTGGGGATGCTTCATACCCTTACTGGGTATGGTGGAGGGGGTGGGGCTGATAATATTCCTCGCTCCTTTCTTAAGAGACCCTACCTGCACCCTTCTCCCCACAGCAGTGGGGGTCCCAACTACAAACCAAGAGGCAGCTCCTAATTTTCCACTAAGGCAACAGCAGATTGCTGGTTTGTGCTTCAGCCTAACAGCATGGAAGCAAATGAGCAGTAACTGTGATGAGGGACATCTCGCTTTCTGCGCCAAGGTAAGCCTGGGGAAGCGAGACAGACCAGGTGTGTTTGGAGGAACACGGTTTGCGAGGAAGAGACCAAAACCCACTTCCCGAGCAACAGCTAAAGAAGTGGGCTTCACATCCGTTTTCAGGCTCATCCAGTCCAGGGGCCAAGCTTCCTGGAGACCACCCCTCTCCCACCGCAGCCTGCTAGTGTTCTCAGCATACTTGGTAACAGGAGGACAATGGAAACCATGAAAAGTGCTCCAGAACCCCAATTTAAAAATTGTTCAAGGAAAAAAAATAAAAATAAAAATAAAAAAATAAAAATTGTTCAAGGGTTGCATCTCATGATCTACTTAAAGTTAGCTTCCCACCTCCTCCCCTCCTCTGAGCCAACCTCTGCACTGCTAACTGAATCATCCTTCTAGAATACAGAGCCATGGCTTCAGCAGCTCTAAGAGAGCAGAATAAAGCTCCTTAACATGAAGAGCAGGCTGACTTCCACCCTCACCCTCCACACTGCCATAAATACTTTTATTCCCAAAGCAAGCTGCACCAGAATCTTCTTTCCGTTCACACAAACCTTGTCTGCCTTCCTTTGCACATGCTAGACCTTTCTAGAACCATTGCCCTTCCCCTTCCATGGAACCCTTGACACTTGGTTCCCATATTGCCTCCTGTGTGAATCCTTTCCAGGTTTCTCCCCTCTGGGTTCCTATAAACTTGCCCTTTATGTCCCTCAGAATTCAGGGGCAGTACTGAAAAGTGGTAGGTTCGCCATGTGAGACTGCCATTCGGTTAGGTCAAAAACAGCCAAAGACTGGCAATCTCCTCCAGTTCAAGGCTAACGTGCTGTTTGTCCTCAGAACTGGAGTGAGAGGGCTGTGCCACCGTCCTCCTTGTGTCAGTATCTGGCACATGGTGGTGTACGGCGGGTGCCCAATTAACGCTTGCTGGATGAGCAGCACGGTTGGACACGTTTTTGTGTGTCTCCTGGTCCGCTTGGTTGCTTGCTCCAACACAGAAACAACCGAATCCAGGACTGCTGGAAAGGATCTTACACATTTTCATCACAGCCAAAGCAAGCTCCAGATGCTTGTCTGCGCAGGTCAAGCAGAGCATGAGAACATCTCAGAACGTGCAGGGAGTGGGGGCAGCTAATTGTTCAGGACGACTACCTTTCTGGTAGGAGAAACAGAGTCAGCAGTCGATGGAGAGGAAGCAGCAGTGGGATCGGGAGACGGAAGGCAGGAGGGAGAAGCCGGAGGGTGAGCGAGAGACAGGCCTTTAGAAAGTAGTTTATTCTGCACAGAACAGAAACAGAGCAAACGGTGATGGTCCCTGGCAAGTGCACCGTGAGGCTCGCCTCCACCGCGCAGCCCCATGCCTACACGTTCAGGGAGGGGAAAAGAAATCCAGGGCTGTGTCTCAGGACAGAAGAGAAGCCTCTGTCTTGGGAGCCCAGCGGGACCGTCTGGCTCCCGGATACACTGCATTCTGCCACAGCTATCCCGGCTCCCTCATCACAGCGAAGTAGCGGGGGCAGACCCGCCCTGTTGCCATGTACGTCTGGCGCAGAATACCAGAGCTAACTCCTGATGCTCTCGCTCTGGAGCCTGGTGTGAAGTAGAAGCTGCAAACTGAGGGAAGGAGAACCCCGGGCCACTGTGGGGCAGACGGCCACAGCAGGCGCCTCTACAGCCCCCTGGGACCCAGATATGAACTCGCTGCAAAACTTCCTTCCCATGACAACGACTCGGCCCAGTAGCACAGGACACAGGTCTGGAGGACACCGAGTGAAAGCAGCAGAGGAGTTATGTTCTAGAGCCCAGGCTGTCTGCAAGCAAGGGGGCCCCTTGCACACACACACGGACTGTGGCACCTCATTATCAACTCTTCCCTCTCCTTGCCACGCACTCCCTCTTCGTTTCAGCAAGTTTCTAGGTCAGTCCCTGCCATTCTGAGGCAAAGCCACTCCGCTTGGCTGATGCTGCTGTTTGGAAAAGCAGAGCACGGGTTAGAGCCTACGGCTGGCTCATCATTCAGGATTTCCCTGGTCAGGGCCACAGGGAGATTTCTCCATTGTGCCTCAAAACACCATGCTTTCACTTTAAGACACTGGGATGTGATGCCTGGCAAGTGACCAGCTTTCCTTCTTTGTGTTCCCTCTTAGGGAGCTCAGTGCCTACTCAGGCCTGTCTAGGCTCTAACAGCATACGTTTCTGCTCGTCACATTTTCCTTGGACCTGAGCCTACATTGCTACCTTGGTCTTCCCTTTGTCATGACTGATCTAGTATTTTTGCATCTGCTCATTTGAGTCTTTTTTAGATGCCAGCCCAAATCCCTTAGTGGCTTGAAAAGTCAATAGCCCCTCCTGCCGGAAAAGGAAGAGGGAGGAGGAAATGAAGCTCCGGAGATGGATTCGTGGCCACTTTGCTAGATGTGCAACATCTGGGTTCCTGGGGGCTCTGAAAGCCCCGTGTTTACCTGCGGGAAATCCCCATGTCCAAACATGGAGGCAAGGTGAGCCGCCTTCTCCTTAATGTTCTTTTTGTGAAATTCCCTGTTGGCCAAGTTCTGAGCCCTCTTCTGCTGGTAGGGCGAGAGAGGAGAAAGAGAGAGAGCAACAGTGACAGAGCCGATGGTGGTTGCCTCCAGGAGAGTGGCAGGATGGGACAGGAGACAGGAACCCACCCGGGGCAGAGGAGGGAAGGAGGGAAGGAAGGCACCCCCAACACAGGCAGAGGCAGGGCCACGAGCGGGCTTTCACCTGCAGAATCTTGTCCTCCACTTGCTGCAGCCGCCGCAGCACCCCAGAAAGCGCCAGAGCTCCCTGGCAGGCGGGAGGCCGGCCAGCAGGGCCTTCAGGCCCACCCAGCTGCAGGTCAGACTTGGCTCTGGCTCTCCAGGGCCTGCTTGGGCACCCGCCGCCAGGAGACACTTGCTTCAGCTCTCGGAGCACATGCCCCGTCACAACCACCGAGGGGAACTGGGAGAGAAGGAAAGTCAAGCTTCCTTCCCGACTGTGGCCCATTCATACACCCCCTGCCGTGAGCCCTCCCCACAAGGACCAGGGACCAAGGGCACAGCAGGGGCCACTGCGGGTCAGACTCCCCCCGCTAACCTCAGGTCCTGACTTTCCGCCACCTGCCACCCTCATTAGTGATACACGGTCTCGGGCCTCACCCCAGACCCACCGGGTCAAAACCTGCACAAGCCCGGTCTCGGTCCTATAGCTGCATAGGGAAGTCACCTAGGGCACTTAGAAAAAGTCACCCGAGTTTGGGCCCAACCCCCGGAGAGTCTGTTTTAACTGGTCCGGGGGTGGGTACCAGATGGTGATATTTTTTAAAAAGCTCTCTAGGTGATTCTTCTATGCACACAGGCCTAACATCACCGAAATATATCCTCACTGACTTCGCTCAACCTCCACCACGGGAGCAACACCAACCTCCTACTGCTGGCTAGATATTTCTGAACAGTGTGCTCAGGAATAGTGATTCTGTTCAAATTCCAAACCCAGAGATGCTCGCTGGACAAAGCCTTGGGCCATGGCTGCCTCCCGGCCCCGGGAGAGTCCTTGTCTGCTTGGGCACCAGGAGATGGCTTCACAGCACCCCGGCCTTACCCCTTCCGTGGTGTGCAGCCAACTGGCCACCTGAGCTCATTTCACCATCCCTGCCACTTGTCCATCTATTTAGAAATCTCCTATCCAAGTGGCCTGCAAATAAAGCTAAGTGTCCCGGAGCGTCCCCCAAATGCCCCATGTGGTGCAGCCTGTTTTACCCCAAGCAAATAAAACATCAAGAGCATAGCAGTTGGGCAGACAATGCTCCAGACTGGCACATACTTCAAGAGGCTGCAGACCTGGTTATTCTTACCTATAAGGATGGTCACCTCAAGTTGTGTCTGCCTTCCCAGAGAAGCTACAGTCAGCCCTACCTGGGGCACACAGAGAGCCACTGACCCCACCCCTCTGGATCAAAGTCCCCTGACTTCACCAAGACAGGGTCCACTGGAAGGAGCCCTACCTGCCTTTTCAGAGGAGGTGACGGGCTGGGTGTGGGCTCCTCTGGCCTAGGGCAGCGAGAGTTAACAGGTGGGTCAGAGGAAGTGCGCAGGACAGGCTTACCTATCCCTGAGACACGGCATTCCTGGGAGATGAAGGTGAGTCCGAAATAGCAGCCACAGGAAACATGAAGGAAAAGGTGAGTCAGACACTTGGAGGGAAGAGAGGAAGAGAGGCAGGCAGAGAGAGTTTGCAAGTGCAGAGACAGCACTGGGCTGAGCTCCCACGAGCCAGGCCCAGAGGGGAAACTTGAACCCTGGTTCTCTGTCCATGGGAACATCAAGTCCTGGAGTCCCCTTCTCTTGGACAACGTGTAAATCCCAGGGAGGCCTTGCTTTTGGCTCAGACCTGGGGCACTGGGCCTGCACCACGAGAGCCTATGCCAAGCCCAGGTGGCCAGGCCTGGAGTCCTCCTGGAAATGGCAAAGTCTCCTGCACACAAGATGACAGGGATGCTACATTCCTTCTGATGGAAGAGAACCCTCGACTGACACCTGGGGACTTCTAGGGGCCCAGCCTCCAGAAGGGGCAATTGAGAAAAAAATCACAAGTCTCAGGACAATGGCCCTCTTCTCACAAAACTTGGCTTCCTGGGGAAAGGCCAGTTTGTCTGGGAGGGGCAGGTCCCCCATCAAGACCAGGTAGACATTTATGATGACTGCCTATAACGTTAATTAACCAAGAGTCTGTCCTCCTCCTGAGAGGAGCCTAATTCTGTTATACGACAGGTGTTCTCCAAAAAAAAACCAAACCCCTTGTCCCAAGCTTTTGTAATGTGACGGTGGCATCCCAAAGGAATTCAGGGGAGCAAAGTGAACCACGCAGTGCAGACCACGGAGTCAAGTCTGAGAGCAATCAGCTTGGTGTCAAGCCTGCCCCACGGCAGTCTGCCTCCTTCAGCCTCCCAGCCGCCCTGCTCGGACACCACAGCCTTCCCGGCCTGACCCAAGGGAATGCGGAGGAGGGGATGTCACAGAACACTTGGGGGTTGGTTCCCATGGAGCTGAGAGCCATGACTTAGTTTTCCCTGGGGTGCACAGGTTTTCTCACTCTGGACTTAACTCCCAGGCAGCCAGCATCTCTAAAACTCCCTTACGCTGTACCATCTCAAAGATGGCTGCAAATCAAGTCATGGTTACAAGGCAAAACCAAATTCTGGATTTCTTCTCCAGGGCAGAACAGGCATCAGCCAACTATGGTCATCAGGCCAAAGCCAGCCTGCTGCCTGTTTCGGTAATTTAAGTTTTGTTAGCACACAGCTACGGTCCTGCCTATGGTCGCTTTCACGCTTCAACGGCAGAGATGAGCAGTTGCAGAGAGACAGGAGGCTCCCGAAGCCTCAAATCTTTGCTATGGCCTAAAATGCGCTACCTGGTCCTTCCTGGAAAAGTCTCCGGACTCCTGATCTAGAAGGAGCGCCCGTCTCCCCTGTGCCAGGCCTGGCTGGCATACCTGAAATCCACCACTAGCCTGCACGTTTCTGCTGGCTTCTCAGCAGGTGTTGGTCACCAGGAAGGCAGGTCCAGTGAGCATCTGATGGGACTCACCTGCCTCAGGAGCGAGGGGTTCCGAGAGCTCTCCTCGAACTTGGCCAGCAGCTGACTTGCCATGGACTTGACCTTGTTCTGGCCTCCCCCTTCTCTCCCGCTGCCGCCCTCTGGACTGCAGCGCAGGCTGCGGCTGGGATAGGCTGAAGGCTGCAAAGGCCAAACGAGCACATTGGTTACTGTGAACCCAGATATCAGGAAGGGGCCCGGGGACTTGGGACACCGGACCAGTTTTCTGAAGGAGGACGTCAGGGTTTGAGGATGGGAGGCAGGAGCAGCAGGTGATGCCCATTGAAACGATGCTCACATCTCCCAAAGGACGGGCACACCCACTTGGGAGCCAGACAGGGTTTGAAAACAGCCTCTTTCACCTCCCAGCGCAGTGACCTTGGCAATTTACTTCCTTTCTCTGAAGTTTCCTCATCTATAAAATGGGAGCCTAGTCCACTTCACCTGGTTGTTGCAGAAGTCAAATATAACAATGAAGTGATCAGCAAAACAGTTTTCCAAATACACCATGTGGCTGCGAGAGGTGAAGAGTAGGGCGGATGAAGAAAGCAAGAGGGGTGTCAGTCAGGCAAAGCACAGGCTTTGGGCTTCTTTCTCCTCTCTCCTCTGCGCCCCACTCCCAGCTTCAACCAGCCCTGCTCTGTGGTCACTATCTTTTTTAAAAAAAAAAAAACTTTTAATCTGGAAAGAATTTTAGACTTACAGAAAAGTTACACAGAGAGTTCCTGCATACCCCTCACCCAGATGCACCCAATGTTAGCATCTAGAATAACTGTGGTACTGTTACCAAAACTAAGCAATGAACACCAGCACGATTCTACTAAGCTAGAGACTTGATTCGGACTACCCCAGCTTGCCACTGATGTCCTTTGGGTTCCAAGACACGAGCCCAGGTCCCACATGGCATTTAGCCATGTCTCCTCCATCTCCCTCCTCTGTAAGACTTTCTCCATCTTTCTTTGCCTTTCATGACCTTGACAATTTTGAAGGACACTGGTCAGCTATTTTGTACAGAGTCCCTCAGGCTGGGTCGGTCTGATGTTTTCTCATGGTCAGACTAGGGTTATGGGTTTTGGAGAAGATGCCTCAAAGTTCAGAAGTGCTTGGGTCCATGGGTCCATCAACGTGACTGTTGACTGGTGAGGGGCTGGTTGTGGTCACTTGACTGTGCTGTTTTATAAAATGGAGTTCCACGTGAGCCTTCTTTAGCTCATCTGCTAAAAAATAAAACTTGGACAGCTACCAGCATTCACTGGTTCAATGTCTGCTCTCCTTACCAAAGGACCTGCTCCCATAGGCCTCAGCAGCAAATGCCACCATTGTATCAGGTGGGCAGTGTGCTTTCCCAAGGAGGTAGTGCATCTCCTTCACAGGAACAGATGTTCTCAAGACAACGAAGATATGTTCACTTAGAAAAGTCATGGGAAGAGGCAAGCTACGGCCAACTGATTTTTTTTTTTTTTAAAGATTCCCTAAGAGGGGCAGCCCCAGGGGAAACCGTGTATGCATAGCCACTCTCAAGTGTTGGACAAACACAGACCAAAGTGTCACTCCCCACTTCGAAGTGCAGAATGTAACTCTGCATATCGATATAAGCTTGAGTGGAAGAGGGTAGGTTTGCTGGAGTGGTCACTGTTTGCTCAAGGCCAAAGTCGGCCAGGATAGTGGGTCACGCAGACCAGCACTTCTCAGATACTAATCACTGAGGGGCTCTTTCAGAGGCAGATTCAGATTAGTCCATAGTCTGGGGGCCTGACCCTGCATCTCTAACCAGCTGCTAGGTGATGCTGATGCTGCTGGTTCCCAGCCCACACTTTGAGTAGCAAGAATTTGGAAAGAATTATTGCTTAGTGAAACCTGACTTTAGTAAAACAGTTGGCTCAGGTCAGCCTAGAAACATCTCAGAAGGGGCAGGTGCAACCGATTTCTTCCCACACTCTGACTCCTGTGTTGTCAGCAACAGAGAGCACAAACACTCCCTCAAAGAAGCCACGGATGAAAGGCAGGAGCAGGTTTCCACCTGAGACACCATGCATCACAGGGAAACCTCTAGGGAGGAGGCACAGGCAAATCACAGGCACTTAAAATGAGAGCCAACACCCCATAACTGGGAAAGTAGGAGGTCTCCCCCCACCCACCCTGTTCCTCAGCCTCCGCTTGCTCCTTTCAACTATCTCCCTATTCACTGGCTTCTTGCTCACACTAGCACCAAGAGATGGAGAAGCGACTGCTCTTGAAGGGATCAAAGAAGTTCTAGAAAAGCTTTGGACAAAGGTGATTTGAACTCATCGGATAAAATGTGTTTCTGCACATTTTAAGACGTGAACTGAACTCCAGGGTTCCGTTATCAGAGGGCCCCTTTGCCCCTTCCAGAAAATGGGGTAAACAAGAGGCAGCTTCCCCACCCACCCAGGTTGGGCCTTGTAGCTCTATTTGTTATAAAGTTCACTGTTTTGAGACCCCGTGTCTGGAGAGAGATTGGTGCTTCATTTTGACCAAGTAGCCTGTAATTTTCTGCTTTCACCAGAAGGTGGCACTTGTGGGCACCAGGCCATTTGCCTAAAAGACAAGTGCAGAAAACGAAAGGTAGAAACTATGGCAAGGGGACAGGAGGGGCTGCCGGTGCCCGGTCACTACTCTCTGCTAATAGTGATGCTGTGTGGATTAGCACAGGTGCCTGAGAGCATGCTTGGCACATTATATACGTCCTCCTATTTAATCTTTAAAAATCCTGCAAAAAGTTGCCGACACATGCCTTTCACAGACATGAGCCACAGCCTGGGAGGCTCCGTTTCTCCAGGTGACATGGCTAGGAAGCAGCAGAGAGAGGACCAGAGCCTGATGGTTTCTCCATCAAGCCAAGCTTGGAACCGAGGGGCTCACAAGAGAGGAAAGGAGGAAGGGCCAGCGCAGTGGCCACTGGCTATCAGGCAACCAGCCTTTGTTTAATTTTTTTTTAAAGATTTTTATTTATTTATTTGACAGAGAGAAACACAGCGAGAGAGGGAACACAAGCAGGGGGAGTGGGAGAGGGAGAAGCAGGCTTCCCGCGGAGCAGGGAGCCCAATGCGGGGTTTGATCCCAGGACCCTGGCATCATGACCTGAGCTGAAGGCAGACGCTTAACAACTGAGCCACCCAGGCGCCCCACCAGCCTTTGTTTAAACAGACACCATGCGCACGAACCTCATCCAGGTTGTTGAAGCCTTTCCGCCTCCGTTTGTTCATGTCGCTGTCTTCAGTCTGGGTGTCCACCTGCAGCAGCCAAGAAAGCGTGGTGAGCTCAGGGCCAGCAAGGTCTGCAGTTCCACCAACCGCCCTGAGGCCATGGGGCAGACCCTGCGCCAGCCTTCGGGGATGCCACCCTGCCCGCCAACAGGTGCCATCCCAGGAGACAGATGGACACACATCACCCTGTACTGTGACAAATGCGATCACAGAGTTCTGTTCAGAAGAGGGAGCCTTCCTGAACCGGGGTGGGGGTGGGAGGGGGAGGAGAGGGGTTCTGTCAGAGGGGTGGGAATCACATCCCCAAAGAGCATTCTGAAACATCCCAAAGCACAAAGAATCCCCGTGACACGGGCGGGGCAGGGACTGTCTCTGTGGTCGATGTGATTGACCCTGGGCTCTAAGCAGTCTCAGCCCGGCCTGCTGATGCCCCTTGGCATGCTGCCATAAGGAGACCCCCTCCTGCAAGGAGATGCCACTGCTCACCTCACAGGCGGGGATTCTTGGGGCTCAGAGCAGCTGTCCAGGGATTTGAAGGCAAATTATGCCTGCCATTTGGTCACCATTGCAAATGCCAGTAAATGATATTTTATCAACTTCAAGGGAGCATCAGATATGGTCTGGAAACTATGGTGATCATACAGCAATGTGTTCCCAGGACCGTTTTTTTGTTTTGTTTTTTAAGACTTTACTTATTTGACAGAGAGAGAGAGACAGCAAGAGAGGGAACACAAGCAGGGGGAGTGGGAGAGGGAGAAGTAGGCCTCCCACCGAGCAGGGAGCCCGATGCGGGGCTCGATCCCAGGACCTTGGGATCATGACCTGAGCTGAAGGCAGACGCTTAACGACTGAGCCACCCAGGTGCCCCAGGACCGTTTTGATTTGTTTCCCCAGCAGAATTATTTATAGTGCTCCCTTCCATTCTCAAAAGCATCCCGGTTAGACAATAAATTGCATGGATGCCCTACCAATAAGCCCTTCCAGCTCACTTTCTGCTGCCTGAATCTGAACACTGAAGTCTGGAGAACCCCACTCTACACAAGCCCACTGCAGCGACCCTGCAAGGGACCAAAGGGCACACGCATTGTCAGTCTTGTCTCCTGTGGAAGGATGGGCAGGGCTGCACAGATGGGAGTGAGGCTGTGGGCTAGGCTAGGGACAGGGGGCTGGACTCAGCGCCACCCCTGTGCCCTGCCAGGTGAGTCTATCCTGACCCTGGGGTTAGACCTGTCTACCTACCCATGTCCAGTATTTCTGTCATGAGCATCTTTGCTGCAGACAGCTTTGCTTCAAGCACCTTTGCCACAAGAGTTTTTACCACGGAACTCATTGGATATAAAGCAATTTTGCCATAACAGATACAAAGATAATGGGCTAACAGTTTGGTTTCATCAGGTGATTGACAGCTTGGTTTCATTTCTCCTCTGGCACAGTGCTCCCGTTTTCATACTATATAAATCTTAGCCCTCATAATGGTCTATACAGTGGTGCAGAGTTTTGAACCCGCATTTCCCATAGAACTTTGGGATGTCTATTGATGGACACGTTACAAAATGCCAAGTGGAAACAATATGTGGAAGGTGTTCACAATGCAACATAAAGTTCAGTCACAAATAGGCATCCTTGTATTTAGAAATGGATACCTCCCTCTTTTTTTTTTTTTTTTTTTTTAGAGAGAGAGAGAGAGAGTGGGGGCAGGAGAGGAAGAGACAATCTTAAGCAGGCTCCACGCCCAGCATGGAGCCCAAAGTGGGGCTTAACCTCAAGACCCTGAGATTATGATCTGAGCTGAAATCAAGAGTCAGACACTAAACCAACTGAGCCACACAGGCGCCCCTGGATACCTCTCTTAATGAAGGAAGAAAGTTTAGTGAAAAAAGAATATGTGTAATGTTGAACATGGAGATGAATCAGTGAGCAAAAAATGTATAATAATATGAACCAAAGACCGTGAAGACAAGTGCTTAGGTACAATCTTAGGTACGAAATGAAACCAGCTGTTTGCACAGTGTTGCCATGAATCTACGCTACTTATTCTGAAGGATTCAAATCTTTTGTATTTCACAATAGTTTTTTTTTTTTTTTTTTAAGATTTTATTTATTTATTTGACAGAGAGAGACACAGTGAGAGAAGGAACACAAGCAGGGGGAGTGGGGGAGGGAGAAGCAGGCTTCCCGCCGAGCAAGGAGCCTGATGTGGGGCTCGATCCCAGGACCCTGGGATCATGACCTGAGCCGAAGGCAGACGCTTAACGACTGAGCCACCCAGGCGCCCCTGCACAATAGTCTTTTTAATTTTGTTATTTGTTTTTCATGTTTCATTATGTCCTTTTTAATGAATGCCCATCATTTGTTTCTTGTGCTTTTCTTGTTTACAGCACAATTGCCTTAGGGCTGATTAGTTACAGAGCAAAAATGCTTGCAGCAAAGATGCTTATGGCAAGACTACCCGGACCCTACTACCACCGGTCTCCAGCTGGGGCCTTCTCCATATGGCAGCCCCCTGAGGGCCATGGAACCCCCACCCCCAAGCCTCCTACACACTCAGGCCCTCCAGGGCAGGCCAGCTTACATCCCAGCCTTTGTTCCACTGAGCAGGCAGAGGGAAGGGCTACTGACCATCTCTCCCCCTGAACCCAGGAGTTCAGCCCAATCTGCCCCACCCCTTCTACCCCTGCTGCGCCGCAGGGATTCTTTTACCTCTCACCTGCTCTGCAGTAAGAACTCAGAGCCCCCAGCACACATGACTATGTGCCCACTTGCTCCCAGCGGAAAGCACCTGCTTCCCCTGTTTCTGTTTTCCCATCACCCCTGACCCTTCCCACACTTACCAGCACCTTTGATATTTTTAAAGACAAGATCCACCATAGTTTAGGCATTGATATTTGTTCAAAAATTTGACCCTTCCCTTGTTCAGGCAGCACAAAACAACAGATCAAAGGGCCCTGCCCTCCCTTTAACATTTTTCTCAGCTTCTAATAAATCATTATTCTGTGAATGGAAATGATTTCAACCCAAACGCTTGGGCAATCACCAAGAGAAATAGATGACCTTATCTGCAACAATGTTGGGTCTTAGAGGCGCAGGCCATCTGGGTCCCCAGCTCCATTGCCTGTGAATGGCTTGCTGGCCGAGACAGGGGCCTGAGAAAGTACAGGATGTCCTACCCTACAAGAACGCTGCATGCATAATCTTAGGGGTTTCTGTCGTTTTGTTGTTGTGGTTGTTTCCACCGTAAATGAAGACTTGGCTTTTCTCTCAAAGAGCAACACCTCTTACTCTCTCTCTTGCATTCAACAGCTTGGGACTTGACTGTTCCAACTTCAGAGCCAAGTAGATCCAAACCCAGTAGGTTAGCCACAGGCTCACAAGAAGCGCTCCTGAGAGGGAGTGTGCCCAGCACCTGAGAAGACCCCGGATCCTTCAGGGGGAAAAAAAGAAGTAGGTGGGGCAACCTCCACTCCTCTGATTCAACCTGACCCATAGAAAAAATAAAATGCAGTCTATATGAAAAGGTTGGCAATACACATACCCAAATGGTCTCTACTCTTCCTTACACATTTCTCATGGAAGCGCTTATTCTCAACTAAAGAGTTAGGTTAAAACAGAAAGGTGGAGAAAACTCAAACCTAGGGATTTACCTAATTTTTTCTTATCTGTATATCTCTATCTGCAAGCCAATGTTGCCTTAGTACCCCCATCTCCTTGGACTCTATTTTGCTCTACAAAGAATGGAGTACAAGGAGGAAGAAAATACTTATGGTGACCAGCAAGAGAAAGAGAGAGAGAGAGAGAGAGCATGAGAATACACAAACAGCTCACTTTCTTTTGCTCTTCATTTTTTCCTGCCTTTCCCCCTAAGAACACTTTCTTATCATGATTTCCCAATGATCTGAAAGAGTCCATACACCAGATGGCATTTTTCCCCCCAGAGGGCATTTATTAAACTAACTGGTATCTCCATTAAAAAAAAAAAAAAAAGATAAGTATTTGCTAATCTGAGTATTTATTTGATCAGTACAAGATAACCATGTCCCCATAAAGTCCAACTTCCTGTGATTTTAGCCCAAAGGAAACAACCTTTATATTTAACTAGTTAGCTTAGCCTAACCCTGGAGAAATTTGGATCTGGGGCATAGAAAGAGAGACCGGCCATTGCAGGCAACGGCCTGGTTGAGTAGGGAGGCAGCGGTGATATTTAGGCCAATGACACCGGCAAGAGAACTCTTCTCTTCTTCAGTAACAGACTAGTAAGGAGTCATGAGTTCGAATTCTGACATGACTTACTTCCCAGCTGTGTGACCTTAGGAAAATCACCTAACTTCCCTGACTGCAGTTTCCTTATCTATTATTTCCTCACCTAGATATCCTATCTAGCTCACAAATTGTTGTAAGGATTAACAAAGTCATGTACATAAAACACTTCTTATAAGGCGCTATATACATGTTACACACTGTTACTTAGGTTAATGCTAGTTAACAGAATTAGAAAACCTGAATTCTAGTTCTGACTTTGACTTTCCACCTACAGGCAGGACATCGCGATTTAATCTCCCCACAGCCAACATTCCCCTTCTCTAAAACTGGGCTGAGAACACATGCCCAGCCTTCCTCCAAAGCGAACACAAGGAGCAAATGAGATATATATGAAACTGCTTTGTACGCCGTAAGGTGCCGCACTGATCATGGTTGCAGTGGAGAACCAAGTGCCCAATCCTACTAGCTTGACTCATTTTCTCAGGAAACAGGCATCTGCGTTGAATTGGTACTCCTAAGGGACAGGCGCACTCATCTGGGGAGCCCTTCCCACTCGGCCGGGCAGGTGCTCAGACCTGCAGCACTCATCTGTTCACGCGCTCTTCACAGCGACATGACGCAATGCAGTGTTGATGTGACTGCAACCACTTTGCAGACAAGCAAAGGAACCACCTTCGGAGCGGTTCAAGCATGTGCCAAATCCCCAGCAGACGTACATACATATTCATCTGCCTGGCTTCTAATGTACTCCCATTGTGTAAGTCAGCTCAGAATGGCCGGCTGTGCGGCACAGATGGCAGAAGAGAGACCAGCCTGCCAACCACGGGGGCCAGAGGGGCAGCTTGGAGGCCCTGTGCTCTCGACTGTCGGGGACTTCCTTCACGTCTGCGAACTGAGAAGCACTAGAGACCTAGTGGGGAGCTCTGGCTGCTGGGTGGGGGTTCTGTGAGAGCAGCTGGGGAAGGGGAGAGGAATTCAGACATTCCCCCTAGAAGGGCAGCATCCTCGGGCAGGGTCCTTGCTTGTCTTGTTCTCTGCTCTACCCCCAGCACCGAGAGGAGAACCCAGCATCAGATATGCACCGGGCCAGTCTGGATGGAAGAAACGCTTCCTTACCTCATGCGCCTGGCTCTTTGGAAAGTGTTCGTGTGGGAGGGGTGAGGAGAGCTGGGCGGGCACCCTGACTGCTGAGACCGGACACCCACACCAGCCAGGCTCTGTGAACTCCACTGTCCCGGGAACAGTGCTGGTGGGGAGCCTGCGTCACCATCAGCCCGCTGAGAGGATAAACACCCTGGGGCCACCACCCAGGCCCCTGGGATGGGCTTCTCATGGACAAGCGACACCTCTGTGTTATGTTGTCTTGAAGGAGTGGGCTCAGACTAGAGAAAACAAACATCAGGTGCCCTGAGTGTGTCCATAGTGTCCTGTCTGTGATGACTGCAGTGGCCATAAATCCAGGCATGACCCACATGTCATAGGTCTAGGAGGGGACACGTGGGAGGACAGAGACCATGTAGGTATGTTCAGATATCGCCTGAGGTCCATCGTAACAGGAGGTCTGGAGTCCCCAGCAATTTTCCCATGTCACAGGCCTTTGTGCGAATGCTTTTAGGATCAGAGGCAGATCTTCAGGAGCAGACCTGCAGATCGATGGGAAAGTTGCATTCTCTAAAAGTAAACAAGGCCCTTGGTAGAGGAAAAGTCTTCTATTTTGCCTGAAGCTGATCAGTTTTGCTGGGATTTGGATGCTATCTGGGGTTAGGGATGAGACAACAATTTAACACCAACCGTGAAAACCAGGAGAGAGAGATTTTTAAGGCTGGCTCAGTAGAGAAAAACGGACCCTCTCCACATTAAGATGCCATGTTGTGAACAAACTTGGGCTTCTCAATTCCCATATCAAGACGCTCCTCTGAGAGTTAGTGAGGGTGTAGGGAGGGTCAGAGAGGGCTGGGGAAAGGGGGTGAGGTTGAACACAGACACATCTGTGTGTCCAGACACCGTGTGCTATGGCGTACTCACGTGGGCATGGCTGAGCCTGAGTCTCTAGTCCATCGGGGCACATGAGCGAGGGTGTTGAGGGCTGTGTGCCTACCTGTGCTGCCATCTTCTGGATAAAACCATGGTGGAGCCTCGATGTGTGTGCAGTTTTCAGAGTGTCCTGTGCACACATCCTCCACGCCCTTTCTGGGGAAAACTGGAGTGAACTCAGTTCTCTTTGCTTGTGAGAAATGTCAAGACCAAAGAGCATTGCAAATAGGTTCCCCAAACCAAAGAGTATGCAGACACAAGACCCGTGGTTGCTGGGGAGGTGGTACTCTGTGTGTGGTCCGGTCGCTGCAGACTTTGAGTGGTGGACTGGGGTATTTCGGTGATAAGGCAGAATGTGACCCAGCGGCCTTTACTAACTTGCCAACCCGCCCAGAGGGAGCATTCAATCACAAATAATGCCCATGCCAAGCACTTACTTCAATGACCTAATCTTTCTACCTATCCAAACAGCAGGGCAAACCCTAGATATAAACGGAGCTGGGCGGGGCGGGGACTGGACCCCTCTCAGGATGGGCAGCCCCTAGGCACACCCTGGGGGGCAACTGGACATGGTTCAAACTCGGCCAGGGTCGGGCCAGACAGAGCCTGCCCATGCCCCCTGAATTTTCTAGCAGAGCCAGTGGGAAGTGGAGTGAGGACCTATCAGCCCTTGGAGAGCCGGGCTGGCCTTGCCAACCATTCCCATCACGGGACCTGCGGCTGGCCAGACTGTTATCATTCCGTCATTCTGTAAACAGAGGTGTGGCGAGTGAAAGGTTTAAGCATTCCTCTCCAGTTCCCAGTTGTGGGCTAAGTGGTGGGAGAAAGCAGGTGGATGGAGAAAGACCTTAAATGTTTGGCTCAGACAGTTTCCAGAAAGCCTGCCCTGGCTTGCTTGGATGGGGAAGCCCGAAGTGGGGATGCTTAGAGGGACAACAGCTGGGCTGGAGTGGAGCCTGTGACTGGTCTCCAGAAGATGACTTCCACTCAGTGGGACATGTGGCAGGCCACACAGCCCTCCCATGGAGCCTCTGAACGGGGCACCCTAGGAAGCAGAGGGGGACAGAGCGGCTGGGTGCAGCTCAGCCCCTTCGCCGCTCTGCTGAAAACCCCTGCAGACCTGCACACCCTCCTTCCCTGGCCCTGGCCTTGCTGGCCCAGTCCCTCCTATAGACAGGGCGTGGTAGAGCAGTGCATGCCCGCTCCTGGAGTTAGCCCAAAGGCTACAACGCTCCAGGGAGTGCAGACCTCAGTGGAAGAAGTGACCACTGCTCACCCAGCCAAGGGAAAGACAGGAGGCTACGTGGCCCCAGCCCCACCCTGGGCAGAGGGGCTGGCAGGACCAGGCGTGACTGACCACACATAGGAGACTGTCGGCCACCTAGAGAGTCTAAGACACACACAGAGGCCTGCCGCCCTGTGGAGAGAGGCAAGCTTTGTATGAGGACTTGCCACCTCACGTATCTGCGCCTCCATTTTTTTGATCTGTAAAATGAGCACATTACGTAGGATAACTTGCATCATACCTACCATAGACATGCCACCATTCAAATGAAGTTACAATGCCTCATTAGCCTCACAGTTCCCAAACTGTGTACCAAGGCACCCCATGGCCCCCCCACAGTGAGCTTACAGAGGAGCCGTACAATACTTTAAATTCTCCAGGGAAACATGGTGAAGTCTGTTATACACCTTGGAAAATACCCCTACCAAGTTATTTGGACTCAACTACTTAGTAAACAGAACTTTTAGATATTTCTTTTGATCTAGGGGGACACTGATAAAAATCACTGAGACACTAAGGGTGCTGTTAAGTCAGGAAAGTTTGGGAACCTCTTTCAGCTCTGAGCTCCTCAAAGGCATACCTTATTCACCTCTGTGTATTTGCTCCTCTCATCAGAAACAAACAAAAAATGGGCTATTGGGTGGCTCAGTCAGTTAAGCGTCCGATTCTTGATTTTGGCTCAGGTCATGATCTCAGGGTGGTGAGATCAAGCCCCGTATCGGCTTCCACAGTCAGTGTGGAGCCTACTCGGGGTTTTCTCTCTCCCTCCCTCTGCCCCTCCTCCCCTGCTATCTCTCTCTCTCTCTTAAAAAAAAAAAAAATTAGAAAAACAAACAAAAAATTCAGCCCTAAAGTTGGCAACACCTGTGGAAGGAAGGGAGGAAGGGAGGGAGGGAGGGCAGGAGGAAAGGGGAAAGGGGAAAGGGGGAAGGGGGAAGGGGGAAGGGGGAAGGGGGAAGGGGGAAGGTAAGGGAAGGAAAGGAAGGAAATTAATGGAACAGAATGTATAAATGTAGCAGCACCATACACTCCGCCACTAACAGCCATGGCATAACCGATCTAAACTGCTTAACAAGTGAGAAATCATCTCCACCCTCCTCTTAGGAGGCAGGGCTAATCTGATTTACTTAAAAAAATACTCAGCGGCATGCCCTCTGAGCTCTGTGCCACGCCCCTCCTGCAACCAGTTCAGGTCACCGAAGCCAGCTACCCGGCGCCGGCGCCGGGAGACTTCCAGCAGCACTGGGTCACTAAACAGTGCTTTACTCACGTCTCCCGTGGGCACTCGATCTGGGTCATTTATCAGCGTTAATAGACCGAAGGCGTGACATTCTCCCTTCCCCTTGCCCCATCCGTGGCCAAACTTACCCGTGGAGTCCTCTTTCTTGGAAATGTGAGGTTGAGATAGTTATGAGAAATGGAGGATTTGGCCAAGCTGAGGTCCGCATTTTCTCCATAGTTTTTGCCCCAAGAATCTGTTAGGAAATAAAAATATGACAGAGATCAGACCCTGCCACCACTACCCTGGGGCTCAGGGGGTGTCATGGCTACAAGGTCCCTCCAAATAATTCCTTCCCCCTCAACTAAAGATATAAATGGGCTGGGTAGGGGGCTGATGCCGCTCTAACCAGTGACCTCCCAGTCACGGGGGCAGACCTTCGGCCTCCCGTGGCACCTGCCACACACACCCACCCACACACACAGGTCCACCCCAGTTTGGCCTCAAAGTGAGAGGGAAGGCAGGGGGCCAGCCTCAGAAGAGAGGACACCAGTGTGGAGAGTAAACCAGAAATGGGCACAGGGCAGAGATGGCCCAAGGGCACAGCAAAGCCTGTCCCAAAGCAGGGCCTTACCCACAGGCCTCAGCGGGGTGCCTCGGAAGAGCTCGTAGAACTTGGAGAGGTACATGACCATGCTGAGCTGGTCGGGCTCCTGGGCTGACGCCATCTCCTTGCCTGTGGTCACTGGGGGGATGCCAAACTCGCGCTCGGCCACGTCAAATGCCAGTTGGTTGTTCTCCACAGCGTCATCTTCGTTCAGAGAGTCAAAGTTGCTGGGGAACCAGAACAACGCAAAATTCAGGGACAGGAGACGGAGGTGTGAAAAGCTGAACCAATTTACCCGTAAGGAGCACTGTGGGCAACATTCTGCTGGGTCTTGCCAGCTGGGGAGGGGCGAGGGAGCCGCAACCCCGGCTCCTGCCCCCAATCACCCCAGCCCACTGCTGCCCTCCCCACTCCACTGCTCCCCCACCCACTACTGCCCAGGGAGGCTCCCCCTCACTTGGGGTAGGGACCAAATCAGATTTAGGCCATGACAATGTCATTGCTGCCTGGGCTGAAACAATGGGAAAATAATTTGTCTTTGGAAAACTTATCAGCTACTTTATTTTTAAATAGTTCCTTTACATGCTTGTGCTTTTAATTATAAAAGTATATGGATATCTTGTAAAAAAAAAAAAAAGTAACAGGTGAAGTCAGAATGGCTAAAATTAACAAGTCAGGAAATGACAGATGTTGGTGGGGATGCGGAGAAAGGGGAACCCTCCTACACTGTTGGTGGGAATGCAAGCTGGTGCAACCACTCTGGAAAACAGTATGGAGGTTCCTCAAACAGTTGAAAATAGAGCTACCATACGATCCAGCAATTGCACTACTGGGTATTTACCACAAAGATACAAATGTAGGGATCCAAAGGGGTACGTGCACCCCGATGTTTACAGCAGCAATGTCCACAATAGCCAAACTGTGGAAAGAGCCAAGATGTTCATCGACAGATGAATGGATAAAGAAGATGTGGTATATATACACAATGGAATATTATGCAGCCATCAAAAGGAATGAGATCTTGCCATTTGCAACAACGTGGATGGAACTGGAGGGTGTTATGCTGAGTGAAATAAGCTGTCAGAGAAAGACATGTATCATATGACCTCACTGATATGAGGAATTCTTAATCTCAGGAAACAAACTGAGGGTTGCTGGAGTGGTCGGGGGTGGGAGGGATTGGGTGACTGGGTGATAGACATTGGGGAGGGTATGTGCTATGGTGAGCACTGTGAATTGTACAAGACTGATGAATCACGGATCTGTACTTCTGAAACAAATAATGCAATATATGTTAAGAAAAAAAGAAGAAGAAGAAGATAGCAGGAGGGGAAGAATGAAGGGGAGTAAGTCGGAGGGGGAGACAACCATGAGAAACGATGGAGTCTGAAAAACAAACTGAGGGTTCTAGAGGGGAGGGGGGTGGGGGGATGGGTTAGCCTGGTGATGGGTATTAAAGAGGGCACGTTCTGCGTGGAGCACTGGGTGTTATGCACAAACAATGAATCATGGAACACTACATCAAAAACTAATAATGTAATGTATGGTGATTAACAATAAAAAAATTATTAAAAAAATAAAATAAAATAAATAAATAAAAAATAAAAAAAAAAGTAACAGGTGAGCACCCCATCCCCTTCTTGAGGCAGCCTCACTTCCTAAAGGTACTGATTAATAACCCTCTGGGAGGTTTCCTTTCAACCATCTGGATGAATGTGCCCGTGGGTGTGTGGTTACTCTGCAGCCGATCTGAATCCAACATTAATACACGTACTGGGCCTTCAACACCACAAAGTGTGTCCAATCTTCCTATCGATGCTGCCAATATTCCCAATTTACAGACAAAGAAACAAACTCAGAGAAGCTAAGGGACCTGCCCAGTGCCACACAGCTAACTGGTCTGCATCTCAGATCTAATTCTTTTGGCTGTAAAATCCTCGAACTGGTCCCCAGAATGAGGTCTTGCCCGTAATTTCTCTCTTGTGGGGAGGGTGCCCAGGTGTGAATGCTCGGTTTCCCCAGCACGGGGGTGGAGGGGATGCGGAGATGAGTACAAGCACGGAGACTGAACTGCGTCTGCTCCTCACGTATTAGGAACACGGGTCAATCAAGCTGCTGACAGAGTAATCAGTGCAAACAGCAAAGAAAAAAACTTAAGAAAAACTCAAACCAAAGATATATCGCTTCTCGGCCTTTTGGCTAAGATCAAGTGTACTTTGAGCCAGGATTCCACATCCAGCAGAACATCCCTGATTCCCTTCGTCTCCAGCGTCCCCCTGGGCCACAGAGGGCTCAGCAGGTGCAGCCTGCACCCCCCAACTCACATCAGCTCAGGCCGGAAGCGGTGGATGATGGCGCACAGGGCCAGGCCACTGCGCCAGGATGTGGTCAGGTTGGTGACGTTGACGTGCTGGTAGCCCTCGGTTTGCTGCTGGCACCAGGTTAAGAGCTTGCTGGGCCGGATGTCTAACTCTGCAGCAGGGGGAGACAGACAGTGGTGGACAGTCATGGAGCAGGTGCATCTGAGCCACGTCTTGAGGAGCGTCGAGGGATTCATCAGACAGAAAGCATTCCAGGAAAACAGAAAAGGGCTGTGCCACGGAAGAATCTAGCAAGGCGGGGCAGGCTGTGTACAACAGGGGCGGCAGCAGTGGGGCATGCGGTGGGAGGGGGTGGGAGGGGGTGGGAGGGGATGGAAGGGGAGTCTGGTAAGGCTCCCCAGCGGCAGTGAGGAGGTGGGGTCTGGGCGGGCAACAGAGACCGGAGAGGTGTCTCGGCTGGACGGTGACCCAAGCAAGGCTGGACTGATTCTGGGGAGTTACTCATTTAACCATCCCTTCCCTCCACTAGGAAAAGTGTGCAGCATGTGGGGCCTGTTATCTAGCTGGGGAGACAAGATCCCCATACTGGAAACAACAGGGAGGGAAAAGCAAGGCGCAGTTCCACCATTCACTTTACTGTCCTAAGTGCTCGACACATATTCTCTCCTTTACAACCGATCTGCTGCTGGGGCCGTCCTTGTCCTGGTTTTACAGATGAGGAAACGGAAGGACAGAGGGGAGGTACCTGGCCAAGGTCACACAGGTCATAGCAGCAGAGCCGAGTGGGCTGCAGGGCCTGGGCCCCCATGGCTACCCTGCAAAGCGATCCCCCACCCCGCACCCCAGCAGCCTGGCCGAGGACCCGGGGCGGCGGCTTACCCCTCCTGGAGAGGCTCATGGATCTCCTCACCGAGCCCAGCCTCTCGAGAGGGCACTGGTGCAACTCCTTGGTGACGTACAAATGCTTCACCTACAAGCCAAAGAGACCATGCAGCTGCCCACCGGGGTTTCCCTGAAGCCGGTCTCGGGGCCGGCCCGGCTTCTACTCCACGTCCACCATGCTTTTCCTCTCTCGCTGGAGGGCAGGACTTTGGGCAAGGGGGCCCAGGGAACCTGAGACGTGGGGCAATAGATCTCAGCTGTCCACCCAAACACGGGGGGACTCAAGTGTGAAAACGCGCAATTGGCTGATTTTACAACAGCAGGACGGGGTTTGCAAACAGCACAGCCAGAAGAAGTTGGCGGCTGTGGGTTCCTGAGTCAACAGGAGGAAACGCGGGAACTGGGAACTGAAAGGACCTGATGGCTGGCCGAGTAGACTCCGTGACAGAGGCATGTTCAGCGACACCGACGCACGGTGACAGTAAACACGTCAGCGTGTGTGCAGATGAGGACAGACATGGCATCTGTTCTAGTTCTTTCCTGCGTGCTAGAGAGACGCTGACTCTCTGGTCTCTCGTGGCTCTCCTAGAGAGAAGAACTGGTCCCACATCAGAGCCAGGAGGCATCGGCGGCCACGGCCTTGGGCATGGGGCCAGGTTTTGGGTGACCTCCCACACACCGCTCAGGGCAGGGTGGCCCAGATGGGGCCCCGGGAGGGACTTACCTGATGGGGCCTGACACAGTTGGAGTTGAGATTTGGGTACCGTGTCCCTGGGTCCAGCGTGTACTGCTCAAAGTTCTTGTTGATGTTCTCCGGGGTGGTCTGAGGTAACAGCCGGTAAAGACTTTCTCTAGGATGAGGCAGATCCCAGGCGTCAGGGACTGCTCTGGCAGCCTCATGCCCTCATCCCCTCACCCCTTCCCTGCTCTTAAGGGCCTCTTAGATGTGTTTGTGTACCTCTTCCCTGCAGTGCCTGGCCCCCGTGGTTCCTGAGACTCACAAAGTGGGGGACAGTTGAAGGGCTGGAGAGGGTGGGGGGAGGGGGTGTCCAGCAGCAGTGATGCCAGCGTCCTTCCCCCGAGCAGAGGGCAGGGACACCAGAGCTGGTAGCCAAGGGACCTGTGGTTTTGCTATAACCACCACTCAGCCACGCTGCCTCCCGTGGCCTCCTGTCCCCCGTGACCACAGGCCTCCACACCCAAGACCCGCAGAGGCCTGCCCCCCACCATCAGTCTTGCCATCTCCCAGTCTGCCAGCTGTTACAGCCACGGGGCCAGCAGCAGGGTCTGGGGGGAGCCCTGGGTCTCAACAACAGCAGGAGAGGCCTGAGAGGTCAGACACCCGGCCCCCCCACAGGGGAAGACAGCCCCACAGCCAAAGCTTCCCCTCAACCTCTTCCGCTCACAGTGCCTGGGCCGTGCTGGGAACCCCAACTTTGGGGTCACTCCAGATCAAGATTTCTCTTCTGCATTCAGGTCCTAAGGTCCTGGCCCCCAGAGAAGTCACGGGAGGAGGTAGAGCATGACACAGAGAGTTTCCCCGGGGATCCTGATGATCAAATCAGGCCACATGTGGGAAGGAAATGCAAGAGGACAGAGGCTCCAGGTTGATCCAGGCCAGCCCCGCTCCCTTTCCTGCCTGAGCTGCACAACCAGTCCTGCCCCCAGCTGGAAGCCCCACTGTCAGTACTTACCTTTCAGCAAGCAGCTCCAGGGGAGGGGTGCCCTGGTCCCAGCTTTTCACCATCCAGGCTGTGTCAAAGGCTGCCAGGAAGCCTCGGGCACAACCTGTGCCCATGGGCCAAAATGGCTAGAGAAGAAAACATGCAAAATTCCAGTTGGTTCTCATGCCCACCCTCCCCGCTCCCCCAGCCTGCTACCCCATTCTATCCAGCACTCTGCTTGCTGAGCCCATGGACGCCCTGGAGGGAGTGTGGGTGCAGTGTCACAGGAACAGCAAAACTGCTCTGGGGCTCACACAAGGCACAGGAGAGTCCGTCTGTCCCCCCCCCCCCCCACACCGCGGGGAGGGAGATGGAAATCAGGGAATGCTACACAAAAGAGTTGCATTTATGCTGATTTTAAAGAACCGGTAGGCTTCTAATCTTGATCCCTTCAAGACTAGCGTGGGCAAAGGCCTGGTGGAGGAACAGAGCAGAGTAGCAAAAGAGAATGCTGAGAAGGGGCGGGCGGCAGCGGGGGCAGATCTCAGCCCACACACCATGGTGAGCGAGGGCTGGTTCGCCAAGCTAAGTTCTAACTGAACTGTCCCATGGGCACCCAAAGCATGGTTTGGAATTTGACTCTTGGGATAAACAAACATTTTTTGGTTACTGCTTACTTTAAAGTTAAAAATGTAACCCTGCTGAAAACATTTGTTCAATCTAAGGATGCTTGCTGTTGCCGACGCTCTGGGAAGCATTTTGAGCAGGGAGGCCACGGATGGAAACCAGACTTTGGGGCCCACATGCCCTTTTGCCCCCTCTCCGATCTCCATGTTGCAAGGCCCCGGAGAGCTCCCCACATGAGGGAGAAGGTGTGGCCCAGCTGAAGGGGTACATGTTCTGAAGCGGGCCGCCCACCCTGAAGGGCAGGGCAGGGCCGACTAGTTTCATACTTTGACAAAGAGTTCAGCCCGAAGAGCCCAGATCGGGGAAAGGAAGGCAGAATGAGCAACTCTGGGTCTGGTGAAAGGGCAGGCCAGGGGCAAGCCGGAGCCAGGATGGGCTTGGCTGACTCTGGCCTGCTGGCAGGCAGCCTGTCCTTCCCCTTGGCTGCACGACAGCAGATGCCGTTGGCCACACCAGAAATGCAGGGATCTATCTTCTACCGGGAATCGGGGGCGTTCCCAAATGCAGGCGCTACCTCGAGCAAGCTGTCGCCCACCAGGGCCACGAGGAGCTGGTGTGACTGGCGCTCGCGCACCAAGGCCGCATTCTCTGAGGCGTACATGGAGGTGAAGTCGAACATGGCCACGTCAGGCTGCCCGTAGTGGTTCAGAGCAAAGTCTAATGATGGCAGCTGGTAATTGGTGGCAAAATCTGCAGCCTCACGGGCGTAGGAGAGCAGGTTGTCCTGGTTCACGTTCTCTGCACACAGCAGCATCTCCGTGTCGATGTAGTCCTGGGGAGAGAACGGGAGCCCGGTGTGGGAATCCGCCCCCATAACGGGCAAGCCTTCATACCCATGTCTTTGCAAAAGGACTTGGAATGGGCTTGCACAGCAAAGCTAAGCAAAACAGAAAATCAGGGCCAAAGGAATCAGGAGGAACCAAATCAGTCATCTGTCAGGGTTAACAGAGCTGTGATTAGGCCTCACACTGGGCTTTGAGCTTCCTGGCATCCAAGGCAAAGGGGAAATGTGATCTATGGCAGGGCTTTCCTTATCAGAAAGAAGGAAGCATAGAAATTCCTAGGGGAGGAAATTTTTTTCCTGGCACTAAATTCTAAAAGAACGGTCTCACATAGGAATTTTGACAGAGGACATAGTGTTGTAATGACCAGCTTACTCCATAATGGTCTAGCGGTAAATGCAGGAGTGTATTTCCCACGGCTGGTTCTTGTGATAACTTTCAGTAAAATTAAAAGACAAGACAGCAAGTAAGGAATAGTGATTTCTTAGTGGACTAAGCTAAGCTAACATGGTCCCGACATGCTGTGTTTAGTGGTCAAACAAGACCAGAAAAGACATGGGTGCTTGGCAGGGCTTGCAAACCTTCTCTGCAGAATCTGCTCTCCCTTTTCTTGAGAGGCTAGGGCTGCTCGGGGCTCTGCTGTGCTCTTACGGTGTTAACTGCCCACTCCCCGCCGGAAGGAGGAGGGCCCTGGCTTAGAGGAGCAGGCTATCCCTCTCTGAGGGACCCTGGCAGCGACCTCAGGGACGTCTCCCAGAGTCTAATCTGCTCATCATATGGCTAAGAAGCTAGAAGGCTATCTTTCCCAAAACGTGACACAGAAAGTGCAGATCCCAAGGGGGGGCGGGGGCATGGGTGGGAACCAGTGTGTAAGACCAACGCAGGCCTTGGGGTTGTCCAGAGCATGAGGTTGGATTCCACCTTTGCTGTTCACTGAGCAAACTTGGGCAAATTACTGAACTTTTTTGAGTTTCCATTTTCTCCTTTGTAAAATGGGAATAACAAAATCCACTTCACACAGTGAGGACCAAAGGAAACCATAGACATAAAATCCCCAACCTGATGCCTGGCATGTGGGAAGTGCTCAGTGAATGGGAATTTCTGTCCCCTATAATTCATGACAGCACAAAACACAGTGTCTGGTGAAGTACATTCCTGGACCCACCCAGGCACCACCAGGAGCATTTACAAAGGTCTTAGAAGGCACAGCCACATCTACAGAGTGACCCACTGTGTAGATTTTCCTAATAACCAAGATTTCAAATATCGTGTTCCAGAAATTCTAACATGTTCACACCAAACTATACCACCCAGATCGCACCCAGCATTGGCCCGGGAACCCTGTGTCAGCTGGTGGCGTTCAGGTTGGAGCTCCTGCCATTCACTTGTCCTTTCTCACGCCTGTTCCTACAGTCACATGACCAATTCCCTCCCTTTAAAGGTGTGGAGAGGAGACGGGGAAGGGTGAATGGAGAGGTCTTGAAAACACCCCCTCTTCAAAGCATGCCACAGGTGGGCTGGCTGACGAGTGAGTGTGAGCACTGCACCGTGAAGGTCCCTGGTGCTGGCGGCCCGGACAGGAGCGCGGGGACCTGCACAGGGAGCAGACCCCGGGCTGTGTTGGGCTGAGAGCCAACCTGGGCCAGGGCTGCTGGGTTGAGCCGAGGGACCTCGTCAGGCCCGAGGTTCCAGGGGAGTGGGTGGATACAGAAGCAGGACCACAGGCCTGGGGTGAGAACAAGGGCAAGGGACAGAAAGGAGGGAATGGCAGGCCTGGGGAAGGGAGTTCTAAATTAAGACAGAGGCAGGAGAATGAGGGTGGGGCCCACTTTCCACAGGCACAGGTACCGAAGAGAGGCTGCGTCCTAGGCAGAGAGGGGGACAGTAGAGAGAGAAGCAGCAGGAATAGCCCAGGTGGGGAATCCGACAGGAAGAAGAGTCGCCCCATGTACTGAGCTAAAAAGAAGGCTGGAGACCGGAAGAGAAGGTCAGGCAATGGCTTCCAGCAAGGGTGGGTTCAGCGTTGGGAGACCAGCTATGATGCATGCTCACCTTGCCCATCTGGCAATAGCGCTCCCTCCCACAGTGGCAAGACCAGGCCTGCTGCATCCAGGAGCCCTAGCCTGTATGTATGTGGCCCAGCAGAGGCAGGGTCCCGGGGTAATGGGCCACCCTCCTTTTGTGACAGAGAGCAAGATGGACAGAGCGGAGAGCCCAGAGGCATGGTTTCCTGAGGAGAAACTTCACTCTCCCTTCAGGAGCCACGGAAAGAAGCCCAGAGGTCAGGAGGAATAGATGGGGAGGCAGATCAGTCAGTCACTCAACACACATTTGCTCAGCACCTCTGTGTGCCTCTAGGAAGATGATGACCCATGTGGGGAGAGGAAATAAGAGAGGATATGTCATTCCTCTGGGAGCACGACAAGAATGTTAATTTGAGTGGCTTGGGTTAGATGGACCAGCTCCCAGCTATGCAAATGCCACAGAGCTTGGCTGGACACAGGGAGACTCAAGGCCAGAGCTCCTGAACCAAACGGCCGTCCAGCTCTCTCATGCCCGGCCTGGGGCCTATAATTTCTAGATGAGAATTCCTGTCTTATACCTAGAGGCCCCTCAGCACTGGCTCAGAAGATGCCCCCGGAGTCTGTGAGGGAAAGAAAAGCCTTGGTGAGGACACCCACAAGCCCGGGATCTGCTCCCAGCTCTTCCACAGTCATGACAGATTCACAGTGAGTCACACTTGCCCACCTGTGCCGTGACAGAGAGATGAGGAGTATGGAGAGGCTTTAACAACTGCCCAAGAGCTGAGTCACCATGAGCAACATGTCTTGACCTGGACAAATGCCCTGGGATGCCCTGAGGGAGCCTTGGTGTCCCAGAGGCTGGAGTACTCAGCCAGTGAAATAGGAAACCCACGTCAAACTCTGCCTAAATCCCTGGGGGTGGGGTCAGGGGCTGACAAAAGCCTCCTCGGTCCCTCCTTTGCAGAGGTGCCCACTGTGCTGGCAGCCCTGGACCCCAAACAGTCCTTCACTGTCTGCCATAGGCCTCCTGATGAACGAGGCAACTTCAGGAGGGATGCCTGTGGAGCAGAGTAAAGAAGGGGCCACCACCCCCACCTCCCCCAGACCGCGTCAGCCACGGAGTACCAGACGCTGAGACCCATCGCTCACACATCTGCTAGCTGTGCTCAGTCAGCTTCTTCCAACCCCCATCCCGCCATTCACAACCTCCTACTTGCAGCTCGGGCTCTCAGCGAGGACCTGAGCCGCATGGAGGAGGCCCAGGGGACGACTGGGTTACCCATGCCACCCAGCCAGCAGCCAGCACAAAGTGGCAAGAGGACAGGCACATTCTTCTCCGACAAGCAACAATGAATGGTCACCATGCCGCCCAGCCTCCTGGCTGACACCCCGAGAGCAGGCTGACCTCGGACAGCACCAGGCAGCGGCCGGGGCAGGAACAGAGGCTCTGGAAGGGTTGAAAACCTGACCAAAGAAGCTTCCAGCCCCGGGCCCCCAACTCCGTGTGCTTTCTTCCAACTTGGTGCTCAGTTGAAGCATGAAGATGCAAAGGCAGGACACAGAGGCCAGGAAGCCAGCAGGACAAAAAAGCAGGTGTCCAAACCAGACAGTAAGTTACGCAGGGAATCTGTAAACTCCCCCTATATGGGCCAGGCCCTGGGACAGTTGCTCTGTACGCATTTTCTCATTTACTTCTGCAAACAACCCTTTCAGACAGAAACCATTATTTGGAAACTCCAGAGAAGAAGACCGAAGTTCAGAAAAGCTGAGCAGCTTAGTCACAGGCCTGAGTTAATCTTCGACTGAGCCAAGATTCAAGCGAAGCCTTTCTGACTGTGAGAACAGAGAGCTCCCCACCACCCCATGACAAGAGGGCCACAGAGGGAAATTCACAAGCGAATGTTGTCTTAGTGCCCCACTCGGACAAGGAGCCCCCATCGGCCTCCAAATGACGTGGGACCTCCCCGAAACAGGGGCAGGGCTGAATGAGACATGGGGAAGGAAAAGACTCAGCCGATCTCTTGGGGGCAAAGGCTTACACGAACACCTGGGTGAGGGTCTCAGCCCAGCCCACAGCCCTCTGCAGAAACACGTCTGCGCATAGTGGTGTGGGCTCCCTCGTCCAACACTCACAACAGCATGGAGGAGGAGAGTGGTGGGTGGTGGTTCTTTCCCACCTGCCCCCACCCCCTTGCTCAGTTTCCCACAGGACAGCACTTACTCCTGCACTTGCTGGGTCACAAAGGGAAAGACAGGACATTGCAGCCAAGAGATACGTACATTAATGATGACACCTTTGTCAAGCAGGCTCTGCTTCTTGGCGGTCATGACAAAATAGTGGGTGCAGTCCTTGTAGTAAACAATGTTCTCAAGATCAATCCCTGCAAAGAGAAGCGTGCCTGGACTCAGTTTGACTCCCTCAGTGTCTCAGTGCCTCGCTGCATAACAGGTGTCATTACTTACCTGCATGTATTCACGTTAGGCAAGTTTTTAAAACATACAAGGCTGGAAAAGATAAAACTAAGTGCTAGAATTTACCCAACTCCACACAGCTAGCTTTTGTTGTACCACAAAGACACTATGTTGTTGTTTTTAAGGTTTATTTATTTATTTTAGAAAGAGAGAGTGCACGTGCACGTGAGCAGGGGGAGGGACAAAGGGAGAGAGAGAATCCCCAAGCAGACTCCTCTCTGAGCACGGAGCCTGAGTCAGGGCTGGATCCCAGGACCCTGAGATCATGACCTGAGCCAAAATCAAGAGTCAGCTGCTTAACCGACTGAGCCACCCAGGTGCCCCAAAGACACTATGTGTTTTTTTTTAAATTAAGACGTAATTGACATATAACGTGGTGTCAGTTTAAGGTGTACAACATGTTGATTTGATATATTTATATATTGCAATATGATTAAAGCATTTAAAAAAAAAAAAAAAAGGAAAACCTCAAAGTCTTTAGGGACTGTGGACCAGTATTTCCAAGCTAGAGCAAAGTGCTGCAGAAGGGCCAAGAGCTGTCTGGGGCATGGCAGCTAAGCAACAACAGAGCCAGGATTTGAACCCCAGCTTGTCTGATTCCAAGTCCCATCCACCAGGCCCTCCATGTGGCCAGAGATTCAAAGAGCTGTGGGAATCCTTTCAAGACTGTGCTAAGTGATGTTTCTACTATGCCCCCTGTGTGTGGAGAAACCCAGATGCCCTGGCAGGAACAACTCAGTTTAGAGGGCTGGGTTGTATAGCTTTGTACTTCCCAGCAATTGCAAAAACACTTCATAGGCTAGGTTTCTGCATTAAAAAAAAATGCTATGAGAGCTTAGCTCAGTGGTTCTTCAAGTGGCCCCCCGTCCGGCCAGCACCATCAGCATCACCTGAGAACCTAGAAATGCTAATGATCAGGACCCCATCCTGGACATAGTAAAGCAGAAACTCTGAGGGTAGGGCCAGCAATCTGCACTTTGACGAGCCCTACAGGGGATTCTGATGCACGTGTCAGTTTGAGAACCACTGGCTTAGCTTCCTCAAAGGGAGAGAAAGGAACAGACACATAACAACCTATCAGCAGTTGACAAGGGCGTCCTGGGTAACCATAGGAACCCCTTTATTACCATTAAATAGGAAACAGCCATCAATGCAGAGGGCCCCCCAGAGAATGGGAGGAAATTCATCGTTGTCACCTTGTAAGGGGCATGGTGAAACAATGGCCAAGGGTGACCACCCCAGCGAAATTTAAAGGAAACTCATTGAAACATTTGGAAAAACACACTCAATGTCCTGTCATAATTCAGATTTGGTGATTTGTTGAAGTATTTATCTTCTCAGTTTTTGAGAGGAAGGGAGGGTTGGACTAATTCTTAAATCATTCAGAAGAGCATAACATGCTGGAAGGCAAACACTCATAAAATCGTGCCACTGTGGTGAAACTCAGAGGGTCACACAATGAGCACATGTCCTCGTGGCCAGAGAGCTGCCCAGTCTGCTCCATAAGGAATCCCAGTCCTAGAAAACCAAATGGAAATATTCCAGCAGCAGCAGTTTGCTCTGTAAGGATAAGTAACTGAAAGGTCTTAAGTCAGAGGCCAGCACATGTTTGCCATAAAGGGCCAGACAGTAAGTATTTCGGGCTTTGCAAGCCATCCAGGCCCACAACCACTCACGGGCAGTGACATGCGTGAACAGGCGTGGCTGTGTTCCAATAAGCTTTCATTTATGGACCCAGAAACTTGAGTTCCATATAACTTTTGATGTGTCAAAAAATATTCTTCTTTTGCTTTTTCTTCAGCCATTCCAAACTACTGAAACCATTCTTAGCTTGAAGAGAATATGGACCCATGTGGCCAACCACAGTTTGCCAGCCTCCAATGTAGACACTCAGGCAGTGACAAACAACCAGTTCCTGAGCTATTCTGCAGCCTGCAAAACTGACCATTGGGAGGACTTGGCTGCAATATGGACAATATTTACAATGCGATGCCGAATGAGAAAACCAAAATCACAAAGAGTACTAGCACTCTGCTAAGAGCTGGAACCATGTAAAAAGGGAGGGTACAGGTGGACGGTTACTGAAAAGCAGTATATGGAAATGAGGACTATTTCTGTGTTAGGTTGACGGTGAGTGTGGATGATTTATTTCTAGCATAAAAACTTTAGGGGCGCCTGGGTGGCTCAGTTGGTTAAGCGTCCGACTCTTGGTTTCAAGTTAGGTCATGATCTCAGGGTCGTGGGCTCGAGCCCCACGTCCGGCTCCACGCTCAGTGCAGAGTCTGCTTGAGGATTCTCTCTCCCTCTCCCTCAGCTTCTCCTTCCCCCTGTTTCTTCCCTGACTCACACTCTCTCCCTCAAAATAAATAAAATCTTTAAACAAATTTTTATTTAACACTTGTCACACTGCCTTTCAAGGAGAGATAAGATTTTAAAATCAGGTTAAAAGAAAAATCTGGAATTTACTTAATTGGCAGCGAGGTGTCATCCCTCTTTCTCCTCGCCGTGCTCTACTTCTCTCCATCATCTTTCTGACCGCCTGACGTGCTAGTTATTTGTTTACTGACAGTCTCCCCCCATAGAATATAAGCTCCAAGAGAGGGGTCTTGTTTTGCCCACTGCTCTTTCTCAGACCCTTGAGCAGCATCTGGCACCAAGTAGGCAGTCAATAAATATTTGTTGAGTACATGAATGAGTATCTTCGAAAGATACTCAAGGCCCACGGCTAGGGGACAACTGATGCCCTGGGGTGAGCACATGTTTCCTGGGCATCCCTGGAAGTCCCTTGTGGGGAAGGACAGCTGGTACACTGAACTAAAACACCTACATTTTTCAGGGACCAACCCAGGGTTACTGATTCCCTCCTCAGAGGGCTCCCTGAAGCTCACGCTGCCTCAGGCACAGACCGACCTCCCCGCATCAGGATGCTTTCCCTGGGTGTCCATCACTGGACAAAGAGCCATTTGGGGAGGGGACGATGTCAATCTCAACTTTGTATCCCATGATACTGAATACAAGCACACAATGAGCATGTTGACTAAATGCTGAGTAAATATATCTTTACCCATTTTTATGTACAACATCCAGAACTTGCCCTTGAGAAGCTCTTTCATCCTTGAAGGAACCCTGCCCAGTTCTATCCTATGGAGAAGTCCCTGCTTCCACTTAATCAGAGTGAGTCTCCCAATCCCAAGAGCTGGGAATGCCCAGCACAGACAATGGCCTGGTTTGGAGAAAGGTAAAGGTCCCACCTGTTTCTTCTTTAAGGTCCTGAAAAAATTTCTGGTTGAAGATGAAAGCCACACCACTGATCTCTTCCACCTTGGCCTCAGCTGTGCTGTTTCTGTTTATGAAGTTGGCAGTGATGGCAATAGCCAACTTCCCACGGAATTCCTTCCTTCTGAACCCTGCATGAGGAAAAAGGCAAAAAGGGAGTCTTTCTTCTGCATTTGGTGTGAAAACTGAGAACGATTATGAAGGAAGCTGTTCTCAGATGCCTCACAGGCCGGTGAAACCAGAGTTCTGGATCTCTGGAGAACAGGGGCAGGCAGAAATGCCAAGGTTCGTACCTGAGGAAGAAACACATCACCAGAGGCCTCAGTCAGGGGGACTTTCTCCTCTCCTAAAATCTACAGGACCAGTTATTCTGGTTAGGCTTCTACAAACAAAAGGCTAAAGTGATTTTCCCAGCAGGCTCATCCTGCTAAGATTTGCTAGGCACTGTTGCTAGGTACACCATGACACGTGCACTTTGAACTTCTACGATTCAAACTAGGTTGTCAGCATTTTTCATGTTTTTCTCCCTTTGAAAAGTAGGATTATGAGACTGAATTCCTGTGGGATGGGGATTTTAACAAATTTTCTATTTCTAGTCTCCAGTGATTGGCGCTTTAGTCCACACTCAGTAAATATATAATGAGTAGACAAAAGTCTAACTTGCAATTGATTTAATACAATGATTCCTTGGGGTTCTTCTAGTTGTTAATGGTTTACATTAAAATTGGTTTTCAATGGTGGTGACACAGAGGATCCCAAGCAGGTGGTCACACTTCAGTGGAGCATCTTCTGCCAACCCCCTTTCTTTCTAGCATCTGGCTATCCCACAGTCCTGAATCTTCCCTCTGCCCCAGACACTGTTGTTTACTTTGCTTAACTCAAGGCTCGCATCACAAGGGCAGGCTCTCTGGACATGCCTTTGTCTTCAGCCTCCTCTGGGAACTCCCCCTACATTTGCTCACCGCACACTCAAGCCTCATGCTGATTCCCAAACTTCTCTGTCAATACTCCCTTTGACTAGAAACCTTGGGGTTTTTCTCAATACCTCCTCTTTAAGTCATTCTTCATTAGATTTTATTGAAATGGTCAGAAATGGCCATTATTGTCTAGTCTAGTATTTCTTAACTGGGAATGACCTTGGCCCCCAGGGGGCATCTTGGCAAAGTGTGGAGACATTTCTGGTTGCTACAACTTGGGGGGTGCTACTGGTGTCTAGCGGGGAAAGGCCAGGGATGCCGCTAAGCATCCTATTGTGCACGGGACAAAGAATGATCTGGCCCCAAATGTCAACAGTGCCAGTATAGAAAAACTCCCAGTCTAGTCTACTTATTTGGTGCTAAGCTGCCTAAATGGCTCTCCTCCTTCTCACAGCTTCTTTTCCTGTCCATGATATGCCTAACTATACTCGGGCAAAGTGCGGATTTTGGATTGGAAAATATTCAGACTTACAATTTTACCCAACTACCAAAATGGCCCCATAAATTCCAACAGCACAACATCCAGGTTAGCAGCTTAAAAAAGTCTTTGTCAGATATGGGTTATTGATTGCAGGGGTCGGGCAAGTATAAGGATGGAGGAGAAGAGAGAGACGCAAGAGTGGGGAAAGGGTCCTGGTGGCACAGCAGGTGGGTAGGGCCCAGCTAGGCAGCCCACACTTCCCGATTCTGCCAGCATCAGCCCTCTTTCCGGGAGTGTGTTCTGTCCTCAGAGGATGTGCCCTCCCCATCAGAAATCCGCAGCCTGCAGCCCTTGAGGGGGGCAAGCTTGAAGAGCAGATAGCCACCAATCTGAGAGAGGCCATGTGGGACCACTTTGTCCATAATCTGCAGTCTCGCCTTCATACAGTTAGCACCAATTAGTACAACCTCTGCGTCAATTAATCTTCGGGGGAGGGGCTAGGGGATTGAAGACATTTCTGGCAGTGGCGCTCTTCTCCCAACCTGACCAGATCTTACTCCAAGAAAACATGTTATGCTTCCAACTCCAGAACTCAGAGAAACAGGGTTTGGCACCTTGACAGTCTGGGAAAAGCTTATCTTACTGCCCAGCGGTGAGTGTGCTTAAAAGTTACAGAAGAGACAGGCTCCTCCTGCTGGGGTATTACACGTGACAGGACAAGAAGGCTAAGAATCGTTGTCTCAGCTAGATGAAGTGGGAAAGTGCTTAGTTACCATGGATTCATTGACAGGCGCTCAATAAATGGATGTTGACTTTCAATTTCCATGGCACTTAACCTTTATAAAGCATTTTTACATACAAGTCCTTTCCTAGCCCTCATAACAATGCTCTGAGGAGGTTCTATTATCTACATTTTACAGATGGGAAGCCTGACGTTCAGAGACCATGAAATGCCTGCCCTCTGAATGTTCAGCCTCAGGCACGGCAGGACAGTCTGCCCTTCTATCAAGGCCCCCATCCAACTTTGGCACCTGCCATCTTGCCCCCATTCTCCAGCCCCCCTCCAACTCCCGTGCCCCCCGCCCCTCCTCAGCTCCAGGAAGGAGAGTCTTCACCTTCCAGTGTGTTCCTGCGGCCGTCGGCGCCGATGATGACGTCAAACTCAAAGTCCGACAGAGGGTGGTCTGCAGGGAGAAATTCTGCCCGCCAGCCGATCTCTGCCGGAACAGAAAAATGATTTGAGTTGGCAGAGAAAGGTGGGAGGTCCCTTCAGCGTTGGCCGGGGAAAAGGGGATAATATCACTGGGTAGAGGCACCCCAGACAGAGCTGCCAGAGGAAAGACCCAGCATTATCCTAAATCACACTCTCATCTGGAGTCCTTCTGGCTTTAATAGCAGTTCAATCCAGGACAAGGTAAACCAGCAGCGCCCACCCCATGCCTGATTTAACTGGTTTCTCTAAAGGCTGGGAGTCCATCCTCAATGATTCTCAGGCCAGTCTCACTTGAACCCTGTTTGTCTCAGTGTATTCTACCATGTTCTCTTCGTAGACCCCCTATATTCCTCCTTGCCCTCCTATTACCAACCAGACCCGAAGGACGCGCTGGGTGTCATGAAACCAGTTTGGCTTCCCACTTCCTTATGCTCGAAATGTTCTGATGGGCAGCACACAGCCTTCGATGAGAACATTTCCAGGTAACAGCTTGCTGGTCACCCAGAATTGGGTCTGAGAAAGGCGAAGGGCACACGTATCTCTGGAAGTTCACTAACAGATGCTGTCCTGCTACAAAAGCCACCGAAGACCTCTCCTCCATTCTGAAATATTCTGGGCAGAGGACAGGAGAGGTCAGAGTCGTAACGAACCCACGAAGCTCTGAGGTCTCCGACACGAAGCTGCCCAAACCATAAGCCCTGCCCAGGCAGCAGCAGCTTTCGATGAGAAATAAGCTGCAGAGGCATCATGAACAAACTCTGACCACGGTGTGTGTGACTTCAGCATTTACATAAACATACTAAAAGGAAAAAGAGCAACGTGACTAAAGAAGAAGACATACCCACCACGGGTGAATTCTGTGGTTTGTAAATTATGCTTCCGTAAGGCTTCAGAATATTACATACCAAATGATATCATGAGCACTTCGTATTTGCTCTAGAAGCTTCACTTTTTTTTAACCAGGTTTTAAAATATCACGTGGGTACAAGTGTAGCCACATGTCCGTGTGTGTTCCCACGCAGCCTGAAGAGCATAGGAATGAACTTCATCAAACAACCGAATCTAGGTCTTCTATCCTAATTACCTATTACTTTGTTTGTCAAAGTACCACCTCCCACCGACAGGGTAACCAAATTATAGGTTTAATGACTTAATAAATCCCCTGGGAGGAGAAGAGCAAACCTAAAGTGACAGCGTTGGTCAGGAAAGGTAAAACATCCTCTGAAGGAATTAGGCCCAACAGCTCCCGACAAGAATAACTCTTACAGGAACATTCTTTGAGCGCTGCAAATGCGATTTCCATTTTGTAATATCTGATTTCTAGACATAAGAGGAAAATTATACTGTACTTTGATTTTCTTGATCTTCAGGAGGCTCTAGAACCTTTACAAACTCCACGTTCACATGGATTTCAACTCCCAGCATCAAGGCCACCTTGAATAGGATGAGCTGCAACTGACGAATGCCTGTCAGAAAGGAAGGGGGAAAGAGAAGAATTATCAGTAGCAATGCCTGAGTGCCTCCTGTATGCAGGGTACTCTATAATCGCCACTCAATGATCTCTGAGCAGAGCAATGTTCCAACAATGATCACGAATGAGAACTAATTATATGCCAGCTACTCAGTGTTTTCTCGTTTAACCCCCCTTACCGTGACCCTGCGGGATAATTATTCCCATTTCACAGATGAGAAGTTGAGGCTCAGTGAGGTGAAGTGACTTGCTCAAGGTCATACAGCAGCAAAACTAGAATGTGGACCCAGATCTGCCTGATTCCAAGACTGTGCTCTAGCTTTTAGAAAATGCTATCATGATGGAGGCTCTGCCTTTCCTGCCTCCTCCCTGAGACAGGCTAGAGGTCTGACGAGGTAAAGACAGAAAGAGGAGGAGACCTAGAGAGTAATGGCCATAAGTAAAGTCAGTGATGAAATGGGTCATTTTGTGGAGGACTGAGCTTAAGCTCTTAGCCATCCAGGGTCAGTGTCAGGCAGGAAATTCTCTCCACAGAGCTGGACTTATGGTAATTCGCCTTGTACCCACTCCCTAAACTCCCCTGACGAGTGTCACCACCTCGTTTCTCTACCTCGTCCCCAGCCATTCAACACACATGGGCATGCCTCCAAATATTTTTCTGTAGAGCGAGAAACTTTCTGTGGGTCCCTCTGTATTTCGTGGGTTTTGTTCACTTAACATGTATTGAGCACCTACAATGGTCCAGGGGCCATGGTAGGCACAGAGACAGAGAACTCACTCTAGTGGAGGAAATGCAGGTGGACAGACCAGGGCAGGCCACGGTGGTCGGGGGGCAGGGGAGTGACAGAACAGGGCCTGAGCTGTGGTCCCGGAAGCCAACAGAGCACCAAATCCCATGGACAGATTAGGGATTGTGAGAACTGCAAGAGGCTGGGAGTTAGGAGGCTTCTGGGGGTCCAATCTCAGTGAAAATCTCCTTCACAGGGGGTGGGGAAGAAGTCAGATTGCAATGGAAGGGGGCAAGAATGGGACACACAGACCAAGTCTACACCCCCTCTTTCTACAGTAAATGCTTTGAAATAGGAAAAAGTAAAGGAAATAGGAGAGGGCAGAGGGGCAGTGAGGTAAGGGGCAGGAAGCCGGGAGGGAGCAGAGTGGAGCGGAGCCTCAGACATGGGGCGAGGGGAGGGAACAAGTACTCAGGTGGAGGCCAGTGCAGGAGGACAGAGAGGGGCTGGGGCTGGGAGTGCCCCCCAGTGGCTTCTCCTCCCCAGAGCCCAGGAGGAAGGCCAGCTGCTCAGAAGGAGGAGGCTGTGGTGGAGGTTGGGAGCAGCCTCATGGGAACTGGAGGTGGATGTTGACACGGGACAGTAGGGAACTGCTGAGCCATGCTGGGGGCGAGGGCAAAGCCGGGGCTGTAGACCAGGGTCGGTCTGAAACGAAGCCAGTCAGCTGGGGCTTAAAGAACCCAATCCCCCTCATGCCTGGAAACAGGCCTAGGCAGCGGCCTGGACTCTCCTCATCATTTCAAGGTTTCTAATTGATCTTGTTCCAGCACATGGGAGGTGTTCAATAAATTCTCCCTGCCTCCCTTCCCACAGGCTACGGAACTGCTCTTGACAACGAGCGCCCTGAACGTCAGAATCTCAGATCCAGACTCTTGCCAGTGTTTCTGCACACCGGGATTTTTCTGAGAACTAGGGGTTAAATGGGAGCCCCATCGATGGGGGCAAAGAGGGGCTCCCAGCCAGCAGGGAAGGCAGCCCAACAGATGGGGGGAGTGCCCTGGTGCCCAGCTCTGCCTCTCAGGAGCGCCCGATGGGAAAGTGGTGCTCAATGTTGTAGTTCCGAATTGGGCACTAACATACATTCTTCTGTGGGTGGTAGAGAATATCCCGAAAGCTGACACTGCAGCCTTCTGGGCAAACCCAAATTTCTTTCCAACGGACTCCTGGAATTTTCTCATGCCAGAGTGGGAATAAAATCTGGGGCCACTGCTGATAGGTCCCCTGTACCCGTGACTAAATTACACCCTATGTGGCTGCCCACCTTCTCCAGTCATTCCTCTGAGCCCCACGCCCTTTCCTGTGGTTCCTATCTGCATGAGAACATGGCTAGCAGGGCTCTCCTCCCACCCACAGGTTGGGAGACTGCAGCTCTGACACCTGAAGCTGGAGACTCTGCTGCCTCTTGCCCACTGCACACCAATGGATGCAAAGCACTTCCCGAGTACCTACTACGTGCCAGGCACAGTGATAAGCACATCACAAACTTGACCTCACTTGATCCCCTCAGGGGTCCTGGGAGGCAGGCATTCATCCCATGTACAGGAGACAAAACTTGGGGCCTGCAGAAGGTAAGGAATTTGACCCAACTCCCACAGCAAATGGGCAAGACAGATTTGGGGCCCAGATCTGTCCAAGACCTTGAACTCTCCCCACAGTGTTAACCTCCTTGACTTTTATGGGACACAGTTTTCTATACTAAATGGCTAAAGACCTCCTCCCTGCTCAGCCCGAGAGGGAAGTCTGTTCTCCCACAGCCTGTCTGCACAGATCTTGCCTGGAGACCCAGGCTGGAGTAACACAGAGCAGAAGGGCCTCAGTGCTCCCCGGAGCGTACTCGGCGTGCAGGGCTGGCCCAGAGCCTGAAATCCATGTTTTCTATTCCCCACTCCTTGTCTGGGTGAACCCCTGTCACGATGACCTCTCTTTTTAGAACTCAAGGAAACTTGGTACAGGGCCTGTCAATTGTGTCATTCCTCTGTTCTAAAACATGCCACGGTTTCCCCCAGAACTGGCAGCACAATGTTCAAGAGGCGCTCGACACCCTGGCCCATTTCATGGTTTTGTGTGCCTCCCTCGTCGGAACTCCTCCAGCAAGTCTGACAACTCTGTTCATGCGCAGTTTATTCCTGACAAAATCTCGGTGAGCCCCCTCTGAGAGGGCAGACCGTGCTACCTACCACTGATTCTGTTTCCCATATTTCATCCATTCATCCAACCAACAGAAGTTGACTGAGCACCTACTATGTGTCGAGCGCTCATCTATGCCCTGGAGACACTCTGGGGAACAAGGCACACCGCAGGCCCCGACCTCATGGTGCTTACATGGGCCCACGCAGCACAGAGCCAGCATAAGGCACAAAGCAGGCCCTTCACGAAATGTCTGCCGGCTGAATGTACGGATCCCCCAGGGACATGTAACCTGGAACATCCTGGAGACTCCTCAATATGGAGAAATGTGCCCCACCCAGGGTCAGCCCCGTCCCTGAATGGGGTGCCATCATTGGCTCTACTCACTGATGTGGTCGATGGAGCCAGCACAGAACTTTCCATAGAACTTCTTGGCTCCCAGGCCCCGCAGGTCATGGATGGTGAAAGGCCAGAGGTGCAGCACATTGTTCCTGGAGAAGGTGTCCCTCTTCTCCACCACAACCACTTTGGCCCCCAGGTAGGCAAGTTCAATGGCAGTGCGCAAACCACATGGTCCTCCCCCAATGATGAGACACTGTAGAAGTCAGAGAGAAGAGAGACATTCACTGACCTCTAGCACTGTGGACACAAACCCCTCGTCAACAGCTAACTGGTCCACTCAAATCAACCAGCAAGTACAAACCAAGTACCTGTTAGGATCTGCCATTCATCCACCCACCCAAGGTACCTTACCTGTGGGCCTAACCAGGCACCGTGCCAAACCCTGGGAGGGACACAGAGGTACGGGACTTGGGGCGGGGCATGGAAAGATACACTTGAGGTTCTGAGCCAGACGAACCTGGGTTTAAACCCCAGCTCTGGCATTTGACCTCTTAGCTTCCTCATCTGTGAATGGGTCTACTACTCTTTCCTCATAGAATTATCGAAAATAAGACTGCTTTTAAAAAGCTTATGGTGCATCACCGTGACCTTAGATTAGGCAATGGTTTCTTAGATGTGATACCAAAAGCACAAGCAACAAAAGGAAAAAGAGAGAAACTGGACTTCATTCCTAAAACCTTTTGTGCTTCAAAGGCCACCATAAGGAAGTGAAAAGATAGCCCACAGATGGGAGAAAATAGCTGCAAATCATAAATTGGATAAGGGGCTAGTATCCAAAATATGCAAAGAATTTAACAACTTAATAATAAAAAAAGGCGACCCAATTAGGGAACAGGCAGATAATCTGAATAGAAATTTTTTTCAAATAAGATATACAAGTGGCCAAAAAGCACATGAAAAGATGCACAGCGTCATTAGCCATCAAGGAAATGCAAATCAAAGCCACAATGAGATACCACTTCATATCCATTAGGGTGACTATAATCAAAAAGACAGACAAAGATAAGTGTTGGCAAAGATGTGGAGAAATTGGAACCCATGTAAAATGGTACAGATGCTTTGGAACAGTTTGGCAGTTCCTCAAAAAGTTAAACATAGAGTTGCCATGTGAGCCAGCAATTGTATTCCTATGCATAAGCCCAAGAGAAATGAAAACATATGTCCACACAGAGACGTGTACATGAATGTTCATGGCAGCATTATTCATTATAGCCAAGAAAAACAGAAACAACTGAAATGTCCATTAATTCATGAACACACAAAATGTGGCATATCCATACAATGGATTATTCAACTCTAAAGAGGAATGAAGTACTGAGATATAGGTGAACCTTGAAAACGTCATGCTAAATGAAAGAAACCAGACACAAAGGGACATAGATGGTATGATTCCATTTACATAAAATGTCCAGAATAGGCAAATTCATGGAGACGGAAAGTAGATTAGTGGTTGCCAGGGGAGGGGGGAGGGGAGTGGGAAAGGTTTCTTTTTATGGCGATATTTTAGAATCCAGTAGTTGTGGTGGTTGCACAATTTTGTGAATATGTTAAAACCACTGAATTCTATACTTTAAAAGGGTGGTATGTGAATATGTGGTATGTGGTATGTGAATTATATCCTCATAAAATACTTGTATGAGAAGAAAAAGCACATGTTATGGAGTTTGGTACACACTAGTGTAGACGCTCTCATTCTCATCACTGAGACCCAGTCGCTATCTAGGGACTCTCCGTCTAGCGGCAAACTCAGACTGTGGGATAAGAAACCAGAACTCTTTGTGGTTGGTTCTATGAGGGGCACAGGTGAGGAAACGCTGACTCTCCTGATAAGCTGGAAAAGACTTCACAGAGCAGGTCTTTAACAATGATCACCATCACCACCGTCCTCTCCTCACCATCACCCTCACCATCACCAGAGTCTGCACCTGTTGAACACTTACTACGTGCCAGACACTCAGTTTACGTGCACCGTGTGTTTTAGCTCTTAGTCCTCACAACACATCGGAGAGGAAGAAACTATTGTTATCCTCATTTCACAGATGGGAAAACTGAGGCACAACACAGCGAGGTAATGGGCCCCTGCTTTCCCAGATCCAGAGGGACAGAACCAGGATGCAGACCCAGGTGGTCTTACTCCAGGGCCCGTCACGCTGTACTATTACTTCTGTCCTACTTCTAATGGGAATAAAAAGAAGAAAGAACATTTCAGCAGAGGGCTCACCCATTCAAAAAGAAAGAAGTTCCAGGTGGATGGAGAGGAGGATACTTTGGGAGAAGGGAAAGGAAGGAGAGGAAAGAGATGAGGGTCAGTCTGGAGCCAGATGCTGAAGGTCCTAAACACCAAGTGAAGGACTATGATCTTGGTCCTGCAGACACTGGGGCCATGGGGAGCGGAGGCGACAAAACCGGATTCTATACAGGTCCCACACTAAGTCTCAATGGACACTGCAATGTTGAGCAAGACCCAAGGAAGCTACAGCCCTATTAGGAGAGAAGGGACAGCATGGAATGACCTAACCGGTTGTTCTGGGCAAAGCCCTTCTACGTAAACAAAGTCACCAGCACCGTGTAAAGACAGAGGGAAACGGCAGTGTTCTGGCTGAGAGAGTCAGAGACCCCTGTGCCGCACCCGCCCTACCCCCAGGCAGCCCCTGCAGCACCTTCAAGAGTCCAGAGTCCCCCTGGGGCGGGGTCCAGATCCCTGAGGATACCCCAGCAAGGCAACAGGGAAGGAGACCTGTACCCACACCACACTGCTCAACATTGCAGAGGCATCTGGGAACTTCCCCTCTGCTCAGGATCAAACCTTATCTTTAAAAAATGCATTTCTCTTCCCCTAGCAAATATTCCATCATCCAGTTATCACTCCTCTGGGGCCTCTGGGGTCTCCAAGGGAAAGTACAAACAAGCATATCAGAAACTCCCACACCACAATCAGTGTGGCTTACTGGCTGGAACCTTCCAGGGAGTTTGTGGAAACTCCATTAGGGGAAATGAAGTCACTGCTGAGATACAGCTCACTCCAGAGATGTCGGGGAGCGGGTATGCAAATCCTTTTGCCTCCTTTCTGGTTGGAGCAGACAGGGGAGGACCACTCCTTATCTCACACCCCAAACAGCTCCTCTGGCTTGACATTGCCAGACCATGACGGGCATTTCAAAGGAAGATTCCAAGCCCTGACACTCTGAGGTTGCCTTTGGGGTTAAGCCTGGATTCAATGCATTTCTTTGCAGTTAGTGCATCTTTTCCTGTTTGCTGAGTCCTGTCACTCCAGGGCCAGGGATGGTGCGCGGGTGGAAGGATGTGGGGGGAAGAAGGGCAGGAAGAGAAGGAGGGGGAGCTGTCCTGAGTCCTTCTGTCCACCAGGCCTAACCCCGCACTGCGCCTGGAGCAAGGCACGAGCTCCCTTTCCCACCCGTTGGGGGGCTGCAGGGCAGTTTTCATGCTGACAGTAGCCAGCGCACTGTTCCCCACCCTCCCAGCTGAACCTGAAACCCCACTGGCGAAAGCTGTTTTCCCACCACTCTGGGCCCCAGCACATACTTTGCGCCTGAAATTTCCAAGACGCCAGTCACACTGTAATCTCAAGTCAAAGCAAATACCTAATTATACAAAGGGAGAAAATTCGGTGCAGATGTTATCAAGACAGGAGAGAAGGCTTGCTGGCAGGAGCCAGGCCACTTCTCTCGGAACACACTTGTTATGATTAACCTGGGAACTCAGAATTCTGAGCAGATGCCAAAAACTACAGCTGCCAGGGGCCTGGGCAGAGGACAGGAGAGAAGGCGGCCGCCCCCAGTGTGCCCACAGGTGATGCTCTGGATGGTGGGCTCGGTACAAACAGGCCACAGTGCAAAGGGTTGTGATAACTCAACCTGAAAAAACTCCACATTTCCCACACCCGTCTGGGCTCTCACTGCTGAGGATTTGTTGTCAAGGAAAGAAAACTTTTCATTAAAACTCAGCCTGGAGGCCTTCCTTGAGCCCCAAATTACACTGTACATTCCGTCCACAGGTTCTGTCCTTAATGCTACCCCAGAACTCAGCTCTGCGTGTTACAATAACCTGCATCTGTTTCCCAGGCCAGCGGCAGTGACCCTCAAAAGCTGTCCCTGTGTCCTCCGCACTTCTGTATGCCCAGAGCCCAGTACCCGGCCCGGCACACGGGAGGCCTCAGTAAACAGCTGATGGATGAATGAACTGCCCACCGCCTCCCCCGCCCACCCAGTTCTGGCTCTCCGTCAGTCACTGGGATGTTCAGCTCATGTCAGCCAGGGTTTATGCCTGCATTTCCCACCCAGAAGGGGGGGAGCTGGGGTCTGCGAAGGCCACCAGCATCATGGACGTCAGCAGATCAGTGCGCTCAGGCGACATAAATTTATGACCCAGTGGGGAGTGGGGCAGATCCAACACCAGCAGGAAGTCCAGTGTATAGATAAGCTTGGCGGTGCTCAGGCCCCCGCATTCATGGAGAGACAAACACCACATGGAAACATCAAGGGGTGGGAAGAGGGGACAAGGGGACTAGCCCACGGTCAAAGGCACAGATGGTGGGTCAGGCCTGCAGCTGGGGCAGCCTCGGTCACACAGGGCTCTTGCGCCACCCAGGAGGAGACCCACAAGCGCTCCCCACTTCTTGATGACCTGGTGCAGCTTCTAATCCACAAGTGGGTGGGTGTCCTGGGACTGTGCCAAGAATGTGAAAGGTATTCAGTCCCCAGAGGGAAACCCCAAGGGGACCAGGGGCTAAGCCAGGGGTTAGCGGTCTGGAGACCTGGTTCCTGCTCCTCAACTCTGCCTCCAGTTTCCTGGGGAGCCATGTGTGCAGACGTCCCTGGGGGGCGGGGTACAGAGAGCCAGCACCTGCAGGCAGCGGGCAGACCAAGGCCTGCCGTCCATTAGTGGGCCGGCCTGGCGCTCAGCACCTTGTTGAAAAGGAGGATTACAGTATGTAAACTGTATCATGCCCAGAACTTTCTAGGTGCCAGGCGCCGTCCCAGTCACATCATGTTTCGCGTCCTGCCCACGGCCCTCTGCGGTCCGCGTCATCATCACCTCCGCTTTGTAAATGAGCAAGCTGAGGACCAGAAGAAGTTCAGCTGCCTGCTCTGGGTGCCCTTATTATCCCTGTTTTTGAGCCAAAAAAAAAAAACAGGGGCAAAAGAGAGTAAGAAATTCAGGTCGGCCCCATGA